ATTTTAAACTGGGTAAATATTGAGTTATCTGGATACTGCATTCAAAGCCACCTTTAACAGATCAAACATACTACTCAAAAAATATTTTAAAAAACAATAGCTTTTTTAGGTTGTTGAAATGCAGCATCAAGAATTTTAAAATAACTGGGTGTGATGATAGTACAGCAAAACAGGGCCAGCCTGCTGTCAGCATTTCATTAATCGTGCTAATTACTGTACATGTGCATTCTCAAAGTGTACCTTGGGTTAAATTAAATTGTAGTTTATTATTAATTAAAACAAAATAAATGAATAATAACCTTTCCCTTGGCAAGCATGGTTAAGAAAATGCTTTTCCTTTTACGAAAGGGACTGGAAGCTTTTACTGCTCATTCTTGCTTGAATCTTTACCTGCATCAACTTCGTGTCATAATGAAAACCTACACAGGGTCATAACAATAAGCTAATGAGAAATATTTTTGCATTTTTTAAAACTTATTCAAGGGGCTTCCAGCTTTATACTCATGGTATAAACAGCACTTCATCTCATAGATATGTTCAATGGCTCTGTTTAAGGCTTAACTGCACCAGTTTGTCATTTACCACAGTCTTGAGCTTTTGAAGATTTAATGAGGACTGGAAACTCTGCTGGGTTCTGTGGGTTCCAGGGGCATAGAGCTGGCAGTTCTGTTCATTAGGCGGAAGGGCAGTACTCTGGTGTTGCATGGGTGACCACTTTCAAGTGTAAAAAAGCTCATAATGTTTTTCTGCTAGAAAAACACGAGCTTCTCCTTTTGAGTCAGGGATGTCCAAAAACATGAATCCCGACACCATTTCGGACAAAACCCAAACATCATCCCCATCCTCCTCATCTGCCAGTTTCATTTCCTTACTGGCTACTGTGCGAATGTCATTTAATGACATTCATGAGACACTTCCTGCCAGAGCAGCCCGATGTAGATTAATGACCACGACCCACTGGAAAGTCAAAGTGTCCTGCAGTAAAGCACTGAGAAATCCCAGCGAGAGCATGCTGAAGAGTGGTACCACCAGTGGCACACGTTAACCCTCTGGCAAACCCATGCCAATACCAGGAGAGGGACTGAACCTTCTGAGCAGACCTGGACTCCTATCAGGGTGATTGTGTGGCTACATGCCAGGAAACTCTGAAACGGTCACAGAAAGTTTCAAAAATAAAACCTCTGCAGTCACAAACAAAAGCAACACAAATTGAGGCAGAAATTGGGACCAAGGACCAGAAAAGAGGAAATGACTGCAGGATTAATGCAAATCCTAATGGGTCTGGGTGTCTGGAGATCCCTTAGGTCTCTTCCAAGCAAGATCACATGAAAAGCAGAAAGATGCTCTCGAATTGCCCCCACTTAGTCCAGTAACAAACATATTTCGTTAATAAACACCTGAATTTTAACTAAAACGTGTTGGCACACACCAGCACTCCAGGAGTAAGACTGAACAATCCAATTCTAAAACAACCTGGACTTTTCTGCCCCATACGCATCTGTAATTAGAAGATAAAATAATCTTTAATCAGAAAATTCGCCTATTGAGCATTTTCCATGATAACTTCCCTTCTCATCTAAATTGCTGGAACACGGCTAACTGAACGAACACTTCCTTATTTTACCTGCCTCAACAACAGCAGGAACGATTAGAGACAAGGACTGCCAATTAAATTACAGTGGCCTCTCGTGCTGTGAAGCAGACTATTGACAAAAAAAAAATCGCAAGATTAATTAATTGACGAAAGAACTCCTGCTTTGTTCTGGCAGAATGCCGAGATAACCTCAGTGCAATAATTTTCTTAGCCCGGCATCTGAAGTAAGCCGTGATCGGTCTTGGAAACCAGAAGGTTAGCTACAAATTGACCTGCCCTACAATTCCAACACCAGAGGTGTTCAAAATGAATTCCCCTCAGGGGGGTATTTTCAATATTTTCCAAAAGACATTCATGAGCCCGTCACGCTAGAGCACGTGTGTTTGAACTGGTGAGCGTTTCGCCCCACGTCAGTGTGCTTGTCGGGAACAAGGGAGACCCATGAGGGCTTCAGAAATGAAAGACATGAAAATCCAATAAAACTGCTGGTTGTAAAAGGCCACTTTTCATCCTGAAACCGTTTAAGCCATGGCTGTCAATTCGTTTTTTTCTCAGGTACTTACACCTTCCTCGACTCGTTCAGCAAGAAAGAGGTTTTGCACGTCGTACAAAAAATATTAACGTCATCAATTTCTTTCCTTCAGTAGGGCGATCCCCAAAGATAAGCCAATACATTTTTTACTTGACTTTAAACTCTGTTTTATGTCTGTTACACACAGCTTATGTGCTGGGCGGACATGCACCGCGAGGCGCCTGAAAAACACCCGGAATGGGTCACTGCATCCAAATCGAATTGAACAGCATTGACACACTCTCACCACGAGAGGTAGCAGGCTGTATTCACTGTGTATATTTATTGTTTTTAAATTGTAGCAGTCTTTGTTTTGTGTTTTTAAAATAACTGCAAAAATAACTTTCATACTCCATCATGCGCAAGAAAGGCCACGCTATGTAAAAAAAATAATTTCCATGCAGCTCATCACAAAAAAACATATATTTTGTGTGTTGTGTTTTCTTTTTGTCTTTGGTGTCTGAAACGCCTCTCTCAAAAAAAAACTTAGAATAGGGCAACTGCGCCATCAAGTGACCACCTATCGCGAATTATCACTAAACTCCCTTTAAGCAAATTACAAGACTCGTTGGGTCAAAGAAAACGAACTGAAAGCTGAGTACTAACTGGAGATTAACCCCCTGGTTAGCACACAGTTCCGTTCCAAACTAGTGCCCCGACTTAAATCCGTTGCTTCGTACTAAACTTGTTCTCCATGGCAATGAACCCCAAGCAACAGCTTCTGCCATCTAGAGTTTTGAAATGGAGTACTACACCTGAACCACCTCTTCGCGGGGTCTACGCATATTAGTAGCGTACTAAGCAGGACACTGGATCACATTAGAACATTTTCGAACACAGTGGAAATGGTATCGTCACGGACTAATGAATTTATGCAGCTGTCGCTTGGAAAATTAATGAGATATTTAACTAAAATGGCTTCCATTTTAGTGCACCCTCACTGTACTGATTGTATTGTACTATGATTATTATTGTATCACTCGTTACACTGTTGCTGTGTTGTCTGTGTAAAGCTGCAGTTGCACTGCAATTTCCCTCACGGGATCAATAAAGTATCCATCGTCTTCCCAGTCACACTACATTTATTAATAATTACGTTTATTAATAAACGTGTTGATTAGCAAAAGTGTAATTTCTTAAGTGAAGTTAAATGTCTATCTTCAGCCAATGCATGCAGTGCCTTCAATGGGCGTTAGTGAATTTTCATATATCGGAAAGGAGTGAAGAGAACTGACATTAGGTAAATCCATATTGAAATGCGGTGTAGGTCTAAATGTGTTCTGTCACACCTGGGTGTTAATTGAATAGATTCGTTGTATTTTTTTTTATTATTATGATAGGACTCTACACTTGTGTTTCTCGGGGGTGTAGGACCGCACACGCCACAGTGACGGCGCTGGTAAGGCCAAATAAGAGGCGAGCAAAACGCAGTTTTAAAATCCCGAAGGCTCACAAGGTCAGAAGTGAAACCCGAAATGACCCGTTTCAGAAGTTTACCTCCTTAAAGCTGTACATATAATTTGTTCTTTACTTGCAGATGAAATCCACTCCAATGTACCAGCATCTTATATTGATGTGAATTCTAAAGCAAGAAAACCTTGAACTTATCTTTACTCGCTACCCCAGAGATCTACAAACATAAATTAAAAGCGCTTAGATGAAGTGCAACAAATGTAGCCCCTGAAGTTGCCTAACACTTACATTTGTAGTGTTGCAGACACGAATGTTGCTTATTCATGAAACCGAAATAGCAATGCGCTCGCTTGTCTGAAGGATCTCCGTATGAATCTCTATCATTTTATCACTCGAAACAAAAGCGGCTATTATACATGTTCAAACTCAGACACTCAGCTGCTGTTCCCGTTTGTTTCGTGATTAATTGCAATTGAGTATGGCATTAGACGTTACGTGAAAATGTACACATCTTTCTTAAAATTAAAAATAACATTCAACAGCCAGATTCATTCAGTTACATACTAACACAGACAGTAAAAGTAATAATTATGGCCTACATATGAACTTACTGATTCGATTAATTGAAAAGTCCCGATTCAGAGCACCTGCAGTTCGTGCTAATTAAAACAGCAATGCTGAGCCCTCAGTTCCGCGCTAACCACAAGTTCAGCTGGTCTCCAACTTTCACTGATAAATCCGAAAGTTTGTTGCAATCGACCCATTAAGTTCAAAACTATATATACTGTAGGTATAATATAAAATGTATTTTTGTTAATTTTGGTCTGTTTTGAAATGTCAGTTAAGGCATCTTAAATTTTTTATTCCATATTTTTCCTTCGAGGTGATTAGGAATGCCAGGATTTAGCTATTGAAAACTGTCATGATGGAAAATACAGTATCATACCGTCACTACACCACAGGTGCTTCTGGAACACGGGGAATAGAATCTCTCTCTTTTTTATTTTCTTCTTTTATCCCGTGAAAAGGATCTATGTCATAGTTCTCCCCTCCCCCTCCTCCGCCACTACAGTACACGGACAATTAAATGTGCATTTGTACTGTTTTCAAAGAATTCAATGCCCGCCCGCCAGTATTTGATATAAACAGAACTAGCGCAATTGCTAGGGAGTTATTGTTATTGCTTTATCACACGCGGTGGGAGGGAATAATTTATAAAAAAAATAAAGTGATTTCGGTGTTAAATGTTTTAAATGTTAAGTGTGTTGTTTTCAACACAAGTACACGAAATTGCTTAATTACGCCTATGCGCTGTTACGTCACGCCTGGCATTTTCCATTGAGCGACTCGTGGTCACAGGTAGGTGGCGCTGTGCTGAAGCACCCGCCCTCCTGCCCGCTTACAAAGCGGACGGCGCCTCTCTTGTCTCCAAGCGCGTCTCCTCGGCTCTCCGACTCCAGCGCTGCGCCCTGCCGGCTGCGTCAGTCTGCTTGTCTCCGCTTCCGATCACCAGCCATGGCTCTGCTGAAGTCTTGCAAGGTTTTCTCCAGTCTGGGGGCTTATTCCCCCTCTCTGGCAGCGTTTCCAGTTCGGGCCAGGTAAAACTATGCGCGGATGTCAGTGCTGTGTTACCGCATTTTATGACTTCCAGCGCGTTGTAGCGTGGTAACCCTGTTGTAGTGCGAGGCTTGTGTTTGTGTTTGCGGGTTGCTCAGGATATGGGCTTCAGCTTATCCTGCAATTCACTTTGATCGAAATTGATATTTTTTTCGGCTTGTATTTTTAATCGCTTGTCTTCTTTACGTTGAATGCACAGGTCACCCCCCCCGCCCCCCTTAAATCTGTCACCTGATGTCTTAATTGCAAGCCTACGAGTGTATCGCATAGCACTTTCTGAGTGGGAGGTGGTCTGGATCTTCGTAGTCTTCACCAGAAAACACGGCTCTGTACTTTTTCTTCCTAATAATAGGCTGGAAAACATGGCGTTTCTTTTGTCAGCGATAGTGTAAGGCCTACACAAGGTTGTTGGGGGGAGTATGCTGAAAGTAAAGAACGACCTCGAGATGTAGGTCTTGATTTTCTGTATTAATTGGTTTGTGTTCAGGATAGAGCCTCACTTAACATCGCTGCACGTGGCCGTGTAACCTTGAAATAATGGGAGGTGTTGATTTCCTAAGCCTTTTAGATGGGGTGGACGGGACCCGTCTGCTGGGTCGGTTTCGTAAGACTTTGGGGGTCAACAGCAAGCGTCTGCGTTTCCTTCCCGATAATGCAAGTGAATAAGGAAGTGTTGCTTAAATCTGCGAACTTAAAGAGACGGAATAACGCTGCCGTCCGACTGTCGAAGCGATAGCCGACAGACATCCTCCCCTGACTGATTCACGAAGCGTCTCCCATGCGGGAGCCGTAGGTGGTCGTTCCTGCGCTGTGATTGGCCGGTAGGTGCGGGCCTCTGGGCCGCGATTGGCCGCGGTGCTCTGCCGCGTGAGCGAAGCGCGGATGCACAGTGGCGTGTCCTTCAGCCTGCAGCGTGGAGGGCACAGCTCTCCTCCTGCTGTCAGTGCGGGGAGTAGCAAAGTCGGGGTTTCCAGAAGATTATTCCTCGACACACACACACCAGGTGTTTAGGCTGTAATGTAGCCAGCGAGGGTCAGGTTCCTTAGTCTAAAGATCAGTGGCTGACCCTGTGTAGCATTTACCCCTTGCTGTGTCAGCTTGCCAGGTTTACTCCAGAGTATGTTTGATCTTAGATGCAATAGATACCTCCATGTCCTGTTTATTTGTATCTGCAGTCAATGCATTTTATCGAGGGGTTAAATGCACCTGATTTTAATTCTAGAATGGAAGCTGGCATCTTAAAACCTTTGGCAAATCTAGACAAATCTGCTTGTTTTTTGGAAGTGGCTGGGGTGGAGTCTGCAAGCCTTAGGTTGATCTGCGCGCTGACTAATCCTGCCAGCTTGTCAACGTGTTTTACTCTGCACAGCAGCTACTGCACTCATGGGCTCAGACCGGTTCAGTTCCTTGCTCTAGGTACCCTGTTCTTCTCTTAGTGTGGCTAGGTGCCATCGGGTACCATTGTGGATTTAGGAAATTAGTGAGCTTCCTGTCCCAGGCAGAACTGATCAAGCCTGGATGTGTCTTTCTTGCGCTGTCCTCTTCTCTGCCCTGCTCCACAGACCAGCTATTTATAGTTGGGTTTCCTCAGTTGTTGACTTTCTAACAAGTGTAATGCGAGAAGAGGCTTCAAAGTCATAGCCAGGGGGTATCGTACAGACAGACATGAGCATTGGCCTATGAAGAATGTCTTTTAAAATAGCCACCTGCATTTGTTTCTGCTTTGTGAGGAGACTGCTTTAAATGTGTTGCCATTATAGTACTAGTAACAAATTCATACATTTGAGCACTTTATCCAACCCAGTTCAGAAATGTAAGGAGCATCAAAAATGCTACACTTGTGACTAGCAAATTCATCAAGTAATTAATAGGAATGTTGCTATATGTGCTACAGAATGCAATTGGACAGGACTTAATACCTTATACTGATGAACACTAGTCACCAACAACATTCTTCAGCAGGCGGTCTCCTGGGAAAGTTACATCCTAGTTGCACAGCTGATAGCCATTGGAAACCACATGAACATCTGCAATGTGTGTTTATTAGTTTGCAGACACTGTTTTGCTAAATTGCCCTGTTCCTTTCTAAGAGCCTGGATAGGCACGTTTGCTGGTCACTGAGACCTAGGTGTCGTGTGCCATCCCAGCCCGTCCCCCAGCTGGGTGTTCTCGTGCCAAGCTGCAGGACTGTTGACACGTTGGGATGGGGCTACAGGAAGCACAGCAAAGTGAGGTGATCAGTGCAGTGACCTTGACACTGGGCTCTGCAAGTGGAGGTACAGCTTACTTAGACTTCCCCACTGATTAGTGTATTGCACACAGTAATCAGTGCATCGTTCTGTCTGCACTCCAATCCCTGACATGCACAAGGGAGATCTACCCAAAACCTTAACTCATTGTTAGAGACAACTTGGAGATGCTGCTGGCAAGCCCTCTTTAAATGTTGCAAAACCGTTTCTTTGTTTCTTCTGATTTCGCTCAGGCTTGACATTCAGCTGGTTAAATTGCTTCATCGCCTGTGGTCAATTGATTCTGACGAATGAGATAATATTGTACTTGCACAGCAGCCATTCGGGTCAAGTAGATAATGGTCATCCTGCCAATTAATATCCAAAATCTGTGTACCTTGGTCTTCCGTAAAAGTAGTAACTACAGCATTATAGACTGTTTGAGTCTTCTGAGGTGTCCAGCTGTTGATTGTGCCTTTTAGTAGGACTCGGGGTCTGCCTTAAATCTGTGATGTAAATGATAGTCCCTGAGATGCTCATGAGATTATACCGTGGAGAAAAGGGTGCCCCTGTATATATGTGCAGCCTGTTTTTCACATGTGCTAAGCTGGCCTCATTAGTGGTCATTAAAGTGAAGAAAATACCAGCCTTGACAGGTTTACAATCCTTCACATAGCTTTACAGGCTAATCCATTAGGGAACAGAGTCCAAAGGTTGAGAGCTGTTGACAAAATCAACTTTAAAAAAAAAACTTCCAGTGGAGAATTCCTGAGTCTCTGCCAAAAATGCACACAAAATATTTGGACTGTCAGCTGATTTATACTGTTTTAAAGGAAGTGGCTTAAAGTTTTGGATGTATTAAGATGTGCATGGAATTTATAATTCAGCGCTTTATAGGAATTACCTGTTTTTCAGAAGGTGCAGGTTTTGGCGTGGTCTGAAACATCTTAAATATGAGCCATCGCTCTTCCAGAAGCCTCGGATCAGGGAATTGCATAGTAATACCATGTTTCATATTAAAGTATACCAAACTTCTTTTATATATGTAGTTCCTGGTGGTCTAGTGTGGAAATGGGACCCCCTGACCCTATTCTTGGGGTCACCGAAGCCTTCAAGCGGGACGGCAACCCCAAGAAGATGAACCTGGGGGTGGGAGCGTACCGTGATGACCAGGGCAAGCCCTACGTCCTGAGCTGCGTGCGCAAGGTGAGCTGGGCCCTCCCTCGGGCGGGTGCTCTGTCTGCTGCTAGTGTCGCATTCGTCAACAGACGGGCGGGAGACGGTTTTGTACAGTTTAAGCCTTTATTGAGCACCGTGTTGAAGCAGTGCATCATTGCAATGGTCCTGTAGGACAAACAGCAAGGAATCCCCCCCCCTCTTATACGGTACAGCTCCAGGTGGTGTGTGACAGAGGTTACACACTTCCACTAGGTGGTTTTCACTCTGCTTTGTGAAGTTTCCAAGCTCTCCCTGTAGAGGGAGATGAATTGCTGCTAGTTAAGGCTCACCACTTTTTATCTGGTTTGAATGTACCTTTTGGTACCGGCAGTACATGGCTTGGTTAACATGCTTCAGCAGTGACTGGAATACCCTCCCAGATGTACAGTACATATCCCATTCACTGTGGAACGCTTCATGATAGCACACAGGCTCTTGAAGTCTCGTGCTCGTCTCTGTTGTGTGCCATGTGCTCCACTGGGAATGCTTTCCTATAAGTGCTGGTGTTCTATACCTCCTTTCCTCTCCAGGCAGAGGCCTTAATTGCTGCCAAGAAGCTGGACAAGGAGTACCTGCCCATCGGTGGGCTGGCCGAGTTTGCCAAGGCCTCGGCCGAGCTGGCGCTGGGGCCCAGCAACGAGGTCCTGAAGAGCGGCCGGGTGAGTCCCCTTTCCCTGGATACTCCATCAGGATCCAGCGTCGGCATGCAGCAGAGTCGTTCTGCACTATTATCTCTGGATTCTCATAGAGGCAGGGCAGGAGATCAGCTTCTTGTAAAAAGTATATAATGTTTAGTGTCTTGTGACAGCTTATAAAGTGAGGTTTATAAAAAAAAAATGTAAAGCCTATTTTTCCCTTCAGGTAAAATTGCAGGGAATGTCATTTACAGCTTTAACAGAAATGTTCTTCTTGGATGTTAATATTTGATCTTTCCTTGCAGTACATTACTGTTCAGACCATCTCTGGAACAGGCTCACTGAGAGTCGGCGCAAACTTCCTGGTAAATCCTTTCTTTCAGATACACTGAAGTTAGTGAGCTTGTCACACCAATGTTGTGTAGTTGGCATCTTTGGCAATACCTCTTTTTGTTGAAGAGCGTTGCTCTTTGGAACTTCAGTTCTACAAATTGCTTTAGTATAATGTTTTTTTAAAAATCTGTAGCTACCATGATTAATTTCAGCTAGTATAACTGGAGCATCAGTTTCGCTATGGTAATAAAAGCACCTTGGGTAGGAAACTTAGCATTGTTCAGTAACATTGGCCTGAGAGCAAACTGGTGTTCAGGAAAACGTGAATGTAGTCTCCCCTCTCTGGTTTATCAACAGTCCCGGTTCCACACCGCCAGCCGTGACGTCTACCTGCCCAAACCCTCCTGGGGAAACCACACCCCCATCTTCAGGGATGCTGGGATGCAGCTGAAGGCGTACCGCTACTACGACCCCAAGACCTGCGGCTTCGACTTTGCTGGGGCTCTGGATGACATCTCGGTGAGTCGGGGGTCAGAGGGAAGCAGCCCAGGGACAGGACGGTCAAAAGAAGCTTTTTTTTTTTTCTTCCTTTCCTGCACAGCAAAGATAAGACTGAAGTGCTGAAGTATTGGTGTTTTAAAAGTACAGGACTTGCAAATGTTCCTCTTCTTGTTTTTAGAAAATCCCAGAGAAAAGCATCATCCTCTTCCATGCTTGTGCCCACAACCCTACAGGAGTGGATCCCAGGCCTGAGGAGTGGAAGGAGATCTGTGACCTGGTGAAGGTGAGCTAAGAATTACAATGCAAAGGGTCCTGTTAGGCAAACTGATGGCCATTAACTGCTACAAAGATCAATCCTAGAGAACATCGTAGGAGTTCTTGATTCTTGGTATTCAGTATTGGAAGGTACTGTTTGATCACTGTAGCTCAAACTGATGTGAAGGGGGAAAAAGGTTCATTGTGAAGCGGATCTTTTTCCACTGTATAAACTGGGAAAAACGGACTCCTGGAGCCTGGAATGCCATCAGCTCATGCGGCCTTCCCTTGCTTGCCTTTCCAGAAAAGGAACCTGTTTGTGTTCTTCGACATGGCGTACCAGGGCTTTGCCAGTGGGGATATTGACCGCGACGCCTTGGCCGTGCGCCACTTCATCGAGCAAGGCCACAACATTGTGCTCTCCCAGTCCTACGCAAAGAACATGGGTCTTTATGGTGAGCTCTCCCCCGTAACGTGGTCCCCCGCGCCTTTGAAACCTACGTCATTCCGCTCCTGCCCTGGTGGCCCACACGCCTGCTGGTTTTTGTTCCAGCCGAGCCCTCAGCTACACTGACCCTTCGTTCAAAATTAACCTGGATTTGTTTCCCAGCTCTTGAAACATGTTGGCGCTTTAACAGTTGTATTTAAAATCTTTTAAGGCTCCAGTTCTCTGATTTAGGTGGGATGAAATGAAAACCAGCAAGCGTGTGGCTAGCCAGGAGCAGGATTAAACAGGAACCGCTGTTCAATCAATGTTGCTGGCTCCCAGGGGGCGGGTGGGGTTGGACTCTGCTTTTCCAGATCTGACCATCCGGTCTTCCTTGGGGCAGGTGAGCGGGTTGGGGCCTTCACTGTGGTCTGCAGCGACGTGGAGGAGGCCAAGCGTGTGGAATCCCAGCTGAAGATCCTCATCCGTCCCATGTACTCGAACCCGCCCATGAACGGAGCCCGCATCGCCGCCACCATCATGAACGCGCCCGAGCTGCGCCAGGAGTGGTAGGTCCTGATACAGGCAGGGTTTTGCCTGTAGACTTTAGTTCTCTGTAAGGTGCTTTTGCTTGGCCACTCAACCAATCACCCTATATTTATGGATCGCTTGTATGTACGTCTTTACTAAGTATATTGTCATTTCTGTGGGGATGTGACTTGGAGATTGGCCTCTTTGCGAATTAGTTGGTCCTCTTTCTCCAGGTTGGAGGAGGTGAAGGGAATGGCCAATCGCATCATCAGTATGCGGGAACAACTGGTTTCTAACTTAAAGAAGGAGGGCTCCATCCACAACTGGCAGCATGTCGTAAACCAGATCGGCATGTTCTGCTTCACTGGCCTCAAACCTGAACAGGTACTTTTATTGACCATGTTTTAGCTTTGTTCAGCTCATTTTCCTGGTGTGCTTATGAGGAGCTTTTCAAATAAAATTGCTGGACTTGGATCTGGCTCTTCAATGTCAGTTCTGGTCTGGATAAAAGACGATGTGGAGTAGAACAATAGAGACCCCAAATCAATGTCTGCATACTTGTGTAGTTTAAAGTTCCTGTAACCAATGAGTTACTACCATGTAACTTAAATAGTGCTAGTTTACTTTCTTTGTTCAGGAACTGTTGCCATATGGAGGAAAAACTGGGAATAAGAATTTTTAAAGGGGAAAGAGCAGCTGTAACTTTTTTTTTCTGGTCTGCAGGTGGAGCGTCTGATAAAGGAGTTCTCGGTCTATATGACCAAGGATGGCCGCATCTCTATGGCTGGGGTCTCCTCCGCCAACGTGGGATACCTGGCACACGGCATCCACCAGGTCACCAAGTAACGGGACAGCCTGGCATCCTGCAGCAGTGAATGAAGGGGAGACGGAACTGTGGCACTGAGCAGACTTGGGAACTGTCCACTGAGCCTTTATCCAGATCCCCTGGTTCTCCGTTTTGGATAATCTGTTTCAGATCTTGATAAATACTGTTGGGAAGTTATTAGGTTGTCAGAACTATTTTGGAACCAGCCCATCACCTCACTTCTTATTGCCACAGTTACGGCTTACCTTTTAATTATGGACAGGATATTTCTCTTCCTCCCCCCCCTTCTTGAAAGCTAGGTCAGACTTCATATGTAGTCTGTGATTTTGTATGAGAACAGGTGTTTTACTCCTCTTGGGCAAAAGGTAATTTGAGGGACTTGATGTTAGCGGGTAAAGATCTGATCATGCCCACTGGTGCATTAGGTCAACATTCTGTTGTAGACTGAACATTTCAGATTCCTGTTTTCACACTTTCTTCTGTTTTGATATGAGAGTTAAGAACTGCTGATAACGTTGTAGCTGTGCTCTCATCCTTCTTACTAGTAAGACTTGTATTGGATGAGGATGGAGACACTTAGTCCAACTGGTTAAATGGAAACTTAATCCAGCCACTTGAATCTCCACTTCATTGAGCCCCACCCTATACACCATTTTTACCTTCCATTTCCCTATTGGTGCTCTCCCGTGGGTGTTTGCTTTTTCCAAAAGGATGTTGAGGAATCCCAAATTCCAGCTCCGTTCAGGTTTAGGAGAAGGGATTCTCGCTGCAATAATTAAAATAAGCACTTAAATGAGAGGCATTTAATTGCTTCTCGTATTGTTTATAAAAAGTTTGGCCACCATGTGCGCTGAAAGTATTAGGAATTAATGTAATTTGTGTGGGAGGGCTGCATTTTCTGTGAGAAGTCCCCACTCCCAATCCTATCTCTAATTCTGAAATCAAGCATCCACTGCTGATTGTGGCCTATGAGTTAGCTCTGATTCTATTGGCTTTAGGAAACAAATATTCCCTCAAAGGTAGAATGAGATTTTCTCTATGGCTACTGTCCACTTTCGGGCCGAACAATTCATAAAATGTGACCATTCAGAGTGAGTTTAACTCTGAATCTTGGCTCTGCTGCATGCCTGTAAGGTTGGGGATAGCCTTTTCCTTGTGTATTTAGCACTTGGATATATTCAGCACTTAAAGGATACAAAAAAAAAAGATTCCTTTATTTTTATTTTATTGGGATGATGTCAAAGCTTGATTTGACCCTTTGTATAACTATACACTTCCCCCACCACCTGGTGATTGGATGAGGTTTGTGAGATGAAATCTTGCTCCCCAGCCCCCCCCCCAAGTCTGACTGAATTTCCTAGTGTGGGATTAAAATAATTTGACTGCACATGATTTGTGCCCCATACATTTCACTTATCTGAAGTATCAAAGACTGTAAGTCCCAAGAGGTGGCAGGATTGTTAATATTGAATGTACCTTATAGGGGGTGTATGTAAATTCTTACACTGTCTGCACTTTTAACCTGAATAAACCATGATCTGAAAACCCTGTTATGCACTGCTTATTTATGTGTTCAAACTTGACTTTTTACAACTTATCTTATTTAAAGATGCAAAATCACTCTGATAAGTGCCTTTTATTTCTATATTGCTAAACCTTCAAACAGGGTTTGTTCAATATGAATAACGGGGCTATCTTCCTTCAGTCGGTCTTGGTTTTTACTTCCATTTGCAGGGACAAGCTCCTATTCCTTCAAGCCCTTCTAAGAATGCTTGCTTTCAAGTTGAGCTTTCAGTGAAGAGCCTTATGTAGTGACTTCTGCAGTTGTCAATTGCCCCTTACTTGGCATTGTACAAGAGAGAGACCTTATCAAATACCCACACAATATAAAATCAACTAGGAAATCTGTTCACTGCAAATCTGGTTTAAAGCTAATCCAATTCCTATGTGTGACCACCACCCATTGTCATTTACCCATGACTGCATTGCTAGAGGGGGGGGTAGTCCCCCCCCCCCCCCCTTGAACAGCTGCGGTTTTCTGCCGTGCGAAGGCGAGCCACCTCATTGGAACAAACTGCAGAAAGTAAGTTGTGTTCTGGAGGCTGCCAGCGCTGGGTACAGAGGCTGTGTGAATTTCTCCTGGAAGCTGTGCAGCGGGAGCAGAGACCCCTCGTCCACGCTGTAGAAGGAGAGCAAGCCCCCCTCGAAATCCAGGAGCACCCCGACTCGCTGGGGGGGGCTGGCCTCCAAGGGAAAGGCCACCCTGTTGTGCAGAGCCTCCAGCCGCCCCTGCTCCCCGTACAGGCACCAGGAGTGGGCGTTGTACCCCAGCCGGCACGCGTCCTCCGTCCCCTTCCGGCCGATCCGCGCGTCGCACACGCCCACCTTCCAGCGCCCGGCCCCCTGGATCTCCACCTCCCAGTAGGCGCGGCCCCCCTCCCGCGGCTCGGCGCCCAGCACCTGCGGGAAGTTGCTGAAGCGGGCCGTGCTCGGGGGGTAGGGCTGGGGCTCCTCGCGGTACGAGACGCCCCTGTTCCCGTCGGCCAGGGCGAGCTTGGGGTAGGCGGTGTCGGGGTTCAGAGAGGGGACCGTCCCGTCTGCGTGGAGAGAGGGGGGGTGTTAGTCTGGGAGGGATGTCCTTGCTGCAAGCTCTGGCGTTTCATAAATGGAGATACTTTATTGTCCACCACTGTGGACATTTCTTCAGCTTAAAATATATACAAGGAAAATAGTCACGTGAAGTACATGAAATCATACCAACAGTATGTGATGAATAAATAGGCAGTGGGGGGACTTCATTTGCCTACAGTCATTGAGCAGTTTTATTGCAGAGGAGGCAAAGGACTTCCTTTAAATATCATTTGAATTTGGTACCCTATACCATCTCCCTGATGGGAGCGTTACGAGCTGAGAATAGAGTGGGTGTGTGGAAACGGCTGTGATGTTCCTGGCCATTCTGAGAACTGTATTGAGCCGGGACTGCTGTTTCCCAATTATTTTTCCTGCCATTTTCACAGTCCTGGTCAGTTGGGTTTTGCTTTTCAATCCCCGATTTCCATACCAAACTGCCGTGTTAAATGCCAGGATGCTCTCAACAAGGCTTTTATATGCCCTCTCTAGGACATTTTGACTGACATTAAAGTGAGTCTTGAGTCTTTGAATTAAAAGCAGCCTCTGATTTGTTTTCTTACAAATGTTGCCTATATTCTCAGTGTACCGCAGCCTCTGATCAATATGTGTTCCCAGATATTTAAAACTCCACAGCCTCTACAGACTGACCTTTGAGCACTACTGTCTGCAAAGATTGCCCTCCATTGGTTTTAGCATTGAAAAGAAGAATGTTTAGTGGTTTAAAAGCAGCAGGCTCCATGGTATGTATGAGAACCAGACTAATAAGTGAAACATTCCTAATTGCTACAAATAGAAGTGCAATTCGCACATGCCTCACTGCAGAAGTTTATGGACTTTTCAGACTGGTTTCACACAGACATTACAATCTGGACTGTCAGGCCCTGCTGCTGCTAAAGTGCAGCACAGTCCTGGACCACAGTTCCAATATCCTTCGTTACAGGACCTGGAATCCGGAAGTGTTTTCGAACTCACAGAGCACCCGGAGGGAGTCCCTGTCGGTCCCTGTGGTGAGGCTCACAGTGTCCAGCCTCCTGTCAGTCCACTCCTGCAGTCTGTCCAGCCTCATTTGGTCCAGTTCCCTGGGGGGGGTCAGCTCCTCCACTGGGCTGCACATCTGTCTCATACTGCGATGGGCACAAAGCGAAATCATGATTACACCACCCGCAGTACAGTTCAGCCCAGAGAAATAGCAGGATTTCCCAGACAGGCGTGTTCAATGCTTTATACTGGTCCAGGATCATCATTAGTACACAAATTATTGGGCTACATTGTTCACAGGCTCTTAGTTTGTCAGTAAGTTAGTTTGTTTCAGTACGTCTGAGAAAGTTTTATGTGCATGCTGACTGCATTTAATGAAGACTTACCTCTTGGATATCTTGCTGTATTCCTGTGGGAAACATTGAAAAAATCCAGTTAGAATACTTCTAGCAGAAACAGGAGTGCATCAGTGGGGTTGGTTCTAGTGCGTTTTCTCCATTCTGAACGCTTGTCCCAAAAACTTCAATTCTAGTCATCACCCTTAGCACACCTAAGAACATCAGGGTCTGTAAATGCTACGAACAACACTTGGATCTATGGAGAAGGCCCCAACTTTCTGCCACTGCCTCCCACCTTCAACTGACAGTGATCGCTTAATTCAACATGATATACATTTACCTTTTCAAGATAAGAACAAGAAGGTCTGTGCTTTCTTATGCAAATGCCAGTTTTGCTTCACAAGAGTAACCTGACGTACAAAATAATTATTCTCTTTCATCCTAGCGTTAATCCCGCATCAGCAGGGTCCGCTTGTCGGCACGCCCGTCTCCATTTGGTGGTTTGAATCAAATCTTTGAGCTGATGTTGCCATTAAATGCGACCGAGAAATACTCCAACCGGCGTGTTGCACCGCCTGCCGTCAGAGGGGGTGGGGTGGGGGAGGAGAACAAAGTAACGTAGCCAATTCATAGAGGGGGATTATTAGGAGGCGTGGGAAATCTGGACAGGACACCGGGGTTACACCCCTACTCTTTTCGAGAAACACCCTGGGATTTTTAATGACCACAGAGAGTCAGGACCACGGTTTTACGTCTCATCCGAAAGACGGCGCTTGTTTACAGTATAATGTCCCCGTCGCTATACTGGGGCAGACGTGCAAAATAATGATTGACAACAGCAAAAACCACCACCACCACCACCTAGCTGGCACAAAAATGTTAAAGTCCGTGTAACTTCTTTCAAATCACAGCAGATCTCAGCTGGCTGGGAGCGCAAACTGCGTCGCTAGGCAAAATCTGAGCTCAAAGCCATCCCCCGGGTGTACCGTACCAGGACAAAGGCCTGGTCTCGGATCCGAGACGTCCCCCTGGTGTCGGACAGGCTCTCCAGCGCGCCCATGTTCTTCTGCGTGAGCTGCAGTGTGTCCTGGAGCTGCTCCAGCTGGGCCTCGATGTCGCCTAGAGCCCGGCTCTCCTCCCGGGACAGGCTCTGCAGGGCCAGCTGCTCCTCTGCGTCCAGGGCCGCTCGCATGGCCTCGTACTGCTGCTGGACATGGGCCCTGGCCTGGCTGACCGCTAACTGGGGGAACAGGAGCATGAGCCCTCTTAGCCGTCCCACTGCGGCTCAGTCACCAAGTCCATTAAAGCACACTGGACCAGACTGGACAGTGTCCATTAAAGCATAGTGGACTGGACTGGACCGAGTCCATTAAAGCACAGTGGACTGGACCGGATTGGACCGAGTCCATTAAAGCACACTGGACTGGACTGGACCGAGTCCATTAAAGCACACTGGACAGGACTGGACAGTGTCCATTAAAGCACAGTGGACAGGACTGGACTGGACTGAGTCCATTAAAGCATAGTGGACTGGACTGGACCGAGTCCATTAAAGCACAGTGGACTGGACCGGACTGGACCGAGTCCATTAAAGCACACTGGACCGGACTGGACTGGACCGAGTCCATTAAAGCACACTGGACAGAACATTAATGTAGCTTTCTTGGCTCTTATACCTCACCCAGTAGCGAATGAAACTCCTGTCAGTGGCATCTCACTTCTCTTACAGTTAATCCAAAACTGTGATCAGGGAGCTCTGGAAGACTAGTCCCAGGAAAGACAGTCGGCAGCTTGTGTTATATATACAGCTTATGTTGTTAAAGGGGAACTGCAGTCCCAATTTCTCAGACTGGTTATTAAACCTCGGTAGGAAAATAAATTCACTGATGGTATAGATCAGATTTACAAATGTTGAATTTAGCACAAAATACTGAACTTTGTGAAAGTACTGTAAGTCGCCATGTTGTGGCAAAGCACTGGTCTCGCCACGGGCAAGAGTGAGAGTTCGCGATCTGCAATGGGAAGCGGCCCTTCCTGCTCACTAGTTTCTCTATTGACTAATGTGACGTGATGTACTCTCTGTGATGTGCGAGGGAATAAGTACAGGTTGTGCAGCAGACATTTCATGGCAGAAATGTTCCACCGTGATCTGCATGCAGTTAACAAGTGATATTTGTAGGTAAAACCGAGAAACTGAGAGCAACATCTCTATTGGATGAAGGGAGAGGTCTTCACAAGCTGCGTGTTTACCATGTAACAAGTCTGCTTCACATCACCGGAGGTTTTGTTGACTCATTCTAATTCACAGAACATGGCGCTGCTCAGACATGGACATTTAGTCTATTTTGTGATGTAAAATGGAGGTTTTTACAAGTTACTGTGTACATCTGACTTACATTGTGGTTTGCAAAGCACACATCAATGCTGATTCTCTCTAACCCCAAAATATAAATATAGCCTTGCAGGTCACCCCTGTATTTACACACTTGTAAGCTGTATATCTGGGCAGATGACACCTGGAGTGTCTGTCTTATCCACAGCGAGGACATAGTTTACCACAACACCGAGCTCTAACCCACCTGGATGTTCAGTTTCTTCTCCTGCAGCAAAGTAAGTCTGTCTTCAACAATCTGAACATTTTCCTGTATTTTAATCATCCCTTCTTTCAATTTCCCCTGAAAGGAAAAAAATGTAATGTTGTTATTAGTTGTAGTAATAGCAGCTGCAGTGATCGTAGCAGTATTGGCTGGATCAGAGTCTCTACTGTACAAACACTATAATGAGTATGTCAGGTGGGGAGCTGCGTCAGCATGCGTAGCCTGCAAAGGAACAAGTACAGGTTTATTCCATGCTGAAGAGAGAAGAGAGTAAACACAACGTTTCTTTCTTATCTTTTCAGCATGGAATAAACCATTACTTGTTCCTATAATGAGTATGTGTAGTTAAAATGGGGTTCGCACACAGTTTGAAGCTCAGCAAAGTTACTATATCAGGAGATTTGTGCTGTGACAGCAGTGTGTGCAACACATCCTGCTGCAGGCCCTCTGCCATCGGTAGTACCAGAAGGATCAGTGTATCATTCACGAGCCAGAGCAGTAGACACAGAGCCCAGGGACACACACACAGAGCTGCAGAGAATCCCGCCTCTCACCCTGAGCTCCTGCTCAGCCTCGCCCACGCCGACGCACTGGTGGCCCTTGTGCGCGCCGACGAGCGTGCACATGGTGCAGATGCACTCCTCGCACTCCCGGCAGTAGATCTTCAGCATCTCCTGGTGCTCCACGCACTTCCACAGAGAGATGTCGGCCGTGGGCTGCACCAGGGGGTGGCCCTGGAACACCGCCACCTCCAGGTGGATTTTCAGGTGCTCCGCGCACATGGAGGCTCCACACACCAGGCAGGTCTTCACGGCCGGCCGGCTGGAGGTGATGCAGTAGTTGCAGGGCACAGTGCTGCTGGTGGAGGGCCTCTCTGCCTCTGTGGCAGGCGCCGAGGGCTGCTCTCTCTCTCCTCCCAGGGCTGGCAGTTTCCTGTACTCTGCCCTGCACTCAGGGCAGTAGTAAGGGCCAGTCTGAGAGGTGCTCCACACCTCCTGGATGCAGCCCTGACAGAAGAGGTGCCCACATCTCAGAGTGGTCGGCTGCCGGCATTCTCGGTGGCACAGAGGGCACTCCGGCTGTACGCCGAGCCTCTCTAAGGCTGCGCCCATTTTAGCCATTTTAGAGAACAAGGAAGAAAGACGAGGGCCTGGGAGGAGTTTACAGTTTGAAAATGAGAGACTCCACCTTTTCCCCCCTTTAGTTCTTAAAGGGGCAGAGCAGGAAAAAAAAATTACGGCGGAACAACTCACACAAGTACATTTTCATACTGTACTGTGTTCAGTACACGGGGTCGCGGCGAGCCCAGAAACCCGGCTGACAATGAACTCCCGGCAGGATGATAACCGGGCGGTCCAGTCCATTCTGAACACCCACACTCGTGCATTCACACCAAGTCGTTGTTATTCCTCTCTTCCTTTTCTCCACCTCCTTTTCTGCTGCAGAGATTTGTGTAATATTTATCCATTTTAAGAACTAGCAGAGGCGTATGGGTGGCACAGCTGAACTGAGTACCAAATTGCCTGCAACGCAGCTATTACGCGCACCGGTAAAATAAACGAGGGACTAAATAGCATTAAAAAAGTACAGACTATTTTCATAAACCTATCTTTACAAAAAAACCTGGGGGCTCTTTTAAATAATACTAAACGCAACTCAACATAACTCTACTTAATATCAATATAGAAACACGAATTAATCACATTTAGTTTTTTAAATGTTTTTGCCGTTATTGATAGTGAACAGTAATGCTTACAGTTGTACCCCGCGTTATGTTTCGACGGAGCTGCAACTACAGAAAAGTGTAATACTAATAAACTTAGCAACAACTAAGGAAACCTTCCAGGACAAGGAAAAAAAACCAACCTAACCCAAAACTACAGTTCCCATGATCCACCTGTCTCGCGTGAGGACGAGCAGGTCACGTGACAATCACATGTCACTGCAGCTGGATCAGCAGGAGGAATCTGCCCCAGCAGCTACAATAAGGCGAGCGAGAGGAGATACCGGTTGGTGAGTGTGTCTGTTCAGTGAATGCCTTCGCTTACTAGCATTGTGTTTTCTTTCCAAACGTGCCTGTGAACTCACTGAATGTTACTGCGTTAAGGAATTTATTAGCTTCCGAGCGGCATGTAGGGAGTCACAAAAGGAATGAGGCGATGATAAGGTCGGTATCGATGCTGGGCGATTTGTGCATACACACAATCCGCAAGCCAAGCGTGCTAGTTTAAATGAGGTGTCTCCGAGCCTGGTCGTGGAGAGACAGTATTTCATTCTGACTCTCCTCTTAGCAAGCTGAATCAGCTGGTGTAGCTGATAAGCTTAACAGCTTCTCAGGTGCTGCTCCGACTCTGAAAACCGAAAGCACGCCGTCCTACCAACACCAGCATGCCCCCTGTCCGGCGTGAATGATTTCATTTACAGCGTGTGTATAGGTGAACTGAAATTCTAGTGAATATAACACGTCAGACTGGTGTTTCCTTACCCGTATCTGAGGTTTGATTCACCTGTGATCAGTGAAAACATGAGGAATGTGGACACCGAGTCTCCCTCTGTCCTTTCCCTGAGGTCAATATGGTGACCCGTTGTGATTTAAGTTAGCATGTGCGAGGAAGGCAGGATTTATGCGAAAGGTGGGTTCAAGCCCTGCAGAGGTTCCTCACGTTTGCCCACTGACCCGTTTCAAAGTGAAACATGATTTGGATTTGAATTGCAGGAGATGGTTTCAGTCCCTCGAGTTGTTTTTGAGGACTTGAAGTAATAATGGCATACAGAGAATTAACATAACAAAGCCTTATTTAGAGTACTCCACGGTGATTTTTATTTTTTAATAGTGCATTACAAATAAAGCTGATCTTGATCATGAAATTTTACGGTAGCAAAACTGAAATATTTTTTTTTCCAGTAGTAAGCAATTATAGATCCTTTTACAGGCTTAGACCGCAGTACAGATTTTGAATCACAAGACCAAGAATATTACGACATGCAGTGACATGTATGCTGGTCAGTACAGAAGATACTGTTATTTAGTTTTCCAAGGGAAATAGTGGTGTCTCCTAGATCGGAGACCTTATTTGTTGAGGAGCAGTTACTATATAATTTTGAAAACCCGTCGTTGCTTTAATGAAGTTCCTTTCTATTTCTGTGTCGCGTAAGCAATGCCTTGTTTCTTCCTCGCCTCTTGAGGAACAGAGATCTTCAGAGCGGTGTGAAAATTTAAACAGGAACAAAGTACGAGAGAAAGAGCCCATATAAGACCGGCAAGCAGCTGACGTCATGTCAGGAATTCTGTCTTGTTCCCCATCTAAAGCGGAATAACTCAGACGCGAGTGTGAAAATAAAATGACTATTATCCAACAGCAGAGACGTGCAGAGTCCTTTTGGTGGGCAGTGGCTCAAAAGGGGAGAAGGTGCACTTTCCTGGGCAGGATTTTGTTACATACGAGTATCCTGGACACAGATCAGCGCCCGCTTGTGTTTCTGTGTTTTTTTAATTTGAATGGAAGTTTGGATGCGACCTCAGAGGCGTTAATCATATTCCCAACCTTGGCAAAATAAATGGTTGTCCATAATTGCTGATTATGTTTGATTAACAGACAAGATATTACACCCGCTCCACTGAATATATACTTTATTTTCCTGATATAACACAGCTTAACAAGAGGACAGAGCAAATGAAACAATCGGCATCTAATTACATATTCATCAAAACTGAAATCGTACAACATTTACCGATGTAATCATTCTTGTGAGGCAAGACTCTTCTGTTATTGAGGCGCACATGGAATGTAGCCTAAGGAACTGGCTTTTTTGATGACCATTTTCCTGTCTGTACGCCGCTAGTTGTGACCCAGTTGTTGAAGCGATGTCCTCCCTAAATTCTCTCTCTTCTTTTTCTTTTTTTCTGGAGCCATGTTCTCCTGTTTCTGTGACTGAACCTTATATACTGTATACAACAAAGACTATGCATGTTAGCTGTTTATGTCCAATACAAAAAGACTGGCTTGTCTACTCGGTGAACTCAGTTTTCTTAAGGAAATCTCAAATCTAGCTAAGCAGCCACGCAGACAATAACGTGGCGAATTCGACGGTTTGCAAACGTAGAGTAGGTGAATGAAAATAGTATTTTTTAAACACAAAGTGCTCAATACGACACCCTAGGAGTGTTACTTTTGTACAGTCCTTCTGAAAATCTGTGTATCTTCTCACCATTCAAAAATGTTTAACACGATCTCCACAGGTGGAGTAGCCTTCATCGCTTCTCGCTGCTTTTTACAACCAACGGGAGGCGGGCGCTGGTGCTCGGATGAGATCGATTAGGTCCGACATTTTATTTTCCTAATGGGAGATTCGTACTAAATACAGAGGCAGAATCGTCAAGTGGCAAAAACCAAAAAAAATTAAATTGGTTGGACTTTTTTTCTACAAGCAAAAAGAGGCACTTGGGCCCATGAGGGCAAAGGGGCTTGAGCCAGTGTAGCCGCCCTGCTCTGCACATCCCTGTCCCAAAGGTTAGACCAGAAGTTTCAAGCTCAATTCTCGGAGGGCCCGAACGTCCTCTGAGTTTAATCCACCCGTGTGCTCGGTTACATAGTGGGTCTAATTGTTGAATTAGCCACAAAGATGGTCGTATTTCAGTGCAGGCTCTGGGGTGATTGCTGGCAACTGTACCTCACCTGAAGCGGTAGTCCTGGGGAATCACCTGAGGAAGACCTTAAGGAAAGTCATACGTGTCTGATTTAAAGAACGGCGTCGTTAATTGACTAATTGGCCACGCAGGTTGGTGGGGAGCCCAGAAGACAGCAGGCCCTGCGGACCCTGAAACAGACTGTGCTGGGGGAGTGATGCAGGGGGCAGCAGCCGACACCCCGAGAGGATCCCCAGCGCCCGGTGGCCCGCAGTGAGCTCTTCCCGAGGGGCCACGTCTCTGACTCGCCCACCCTTCGCCGCCTCGCTCCTGCACCCACGTCGCAGACCGTTCTGGGCTCCGCGGTCACCCCAGGGGCGAACCTCCTCTGTGCGCGGGGAGCGGGAGGAGTGGAGGAGGAGGAGGAAGGGCGAGGCGCTGCGATGTCCCGGCCGGTCATGGCGATCAACAGCGAGGGCGCGGACTGGGGCTGGAGCGAAGACGCCGGGGAGAGGGCCAGGCTGCTGCAGAGTCCCAGCATGGAGGCGGGGTCCCCGGCCCGCGAGCGGCAGGGGGGCACCTCCGCGGTGGGCGCCGTGTTCATCGTGGTCAACGCCGCCCTGGGTGCCGGCCTCCTCAACTTCCCGGCTGCTTTCAACACTGCCGGCGGAGTCACGTCCGGCATCGTGCTGCAGATGGTAAAGGCCTTGATCCTCGAGGGCTGGGGCTGTAGGGGAAGTTAGGAAGCCGGGCATGACAGAGGGAGCCAGGTGGCATCACGCTGCTTCCTCATTGCCGATGTAGCACAGCCTCCCGTCTGTAACTTTGCACATCCCTGTTTTTCACAGAGACAGTCCCTAGCATTGTCATAAATTATGTAAGCCTGCCATAAACATAGGCTGGCAGGGGACTCAGCTGCTTGTTTGTGTTGTCTGATTCCCGGACTAGCGTGATGCTTCAAGGCAGTATTTTTTTTTAATGTTCTATAACCGCCAATACAGCAGTAAAATTTTTTGCAGCTTCTCAATAGCCACGGTTTACATCACTTTCCGTGTGTCCGTATTCGTCCTGGTGAGGGCAGCAGAAAAATGCTGGTTTGGTTTGTGAGATACTCGTCTTGGTGGTCTGAAGGGTAGATGCAACCCGGGGGTTCTGAGGCTTATTGCGAAACGCTGGCACCTGACGCCCTGACCCTCACCTTCTCCTCCTGTGCTCCACTGCAGTGCATGCTGCTGTTCATCATCAGCGGGCTGGTGATCCTGGCCTACTGCTCCCAGGTCAGCAACGAGACCACCTACCAGGAGGTGGTCCGGGCGGTGTGTGGGCGTGTGCCAGGGGTGATATGCGAGGTGGCCATCGCCGTCTACACCTTCGGCACCTGCATCGCCTTCCTCATCATCATCGGGGACCAGCTGGACAAGTGTGAGTACCGCGCTGCCACTGCACCCTGACAGCTGCTCTGACAGCCCTCAGCACAGGGCGGAGATTTCGATCAAATTTCAGCCTGACTGGAGGGTTGAGCAGTTGTTCAGTTGAACGGTGGTTTATCTCAGTGTGTCAGGTAATAGGTATAGGAATGACCATGTAACAAGGTTTGTGCGTTGTGCAGAACGTAAGATCTCCAGAATACTTACTGTTGGAATCCCCATTGTATGGTCTGTCATGACTTTCATTTATTTTTGCTTGCAGGCAGTGATGCAGGCAGCACTGCTAGTATGAGCACAGATAAAATCAATGGTACATTTAGATGTCTGTGTAGCTCATTGGAATACTGTGCCATGCATATAGCAACAAAAAGCATCTCTTTCTCCTTAGAATAAACCTTAAGAGCCTGTGTAGTTCATTAAACAGTCTCAATAATTCAAAAAAAATATTTTCTCTCTTTGGGCTTCATTGATTGTGAGATTTCCTTTGTCGTACAAATTGCACTCTTGTGTTGCCCTGGAGCTTCCAGGGGCGGGGCTAATTGAGTTGTGCAGGATACCGAGTGACTCAGCTATTGATTTCATCAGCACCCTGCTCCCGTGCAGTCCTCTGCTCAGCGCAACAGGGAAGAGCTACAGTTCATGGCTGATAACCCCTGGCTTAGCAGGTGCCATGGGCAGAGAAGAAAATACATTTTTAACATGTTGCTGGTTTCCTGAATAGCACCGCTGACTTTTATTAACTCCTACAAGGAATGTGTAGATGCACAGTACTCGTTCTCTCTCTCTTTTCCTTTTGGAACGTATTTTTCCATAAATAGAAATAAATATTCCGTCTTGACCCGCTCGTTTCTCCGTTTATTACATGTGGCCTGCAAGTGTGTTTCCAAGCAGGGAGAGACGCTCCTGAAAGTGGTGCTCTGAGGAAAGGGTGCTGGTTTTGATCTCCCTGACCTGTTTGCAGTGGTTGGAGCGATATCCCATGAGTCGGCGGGAGCGGTCAGCAGTGGCCCCTGGTACACTGACCGCAAGTTCACCATCGTCCTGACCTCCGTGCTGGTGATTCTGCCCCTCTCCATCCCCAAGGAGATCGGCTTCCAGAAGTATGCCAGGTACACGCAGGGCAAACCTGTTAGCGTCCACGCCACATGGAAAATTGAAGTGTTCATAAAGGTGAAGCTCAGCATCATAGCTTTGCCAGAGCTGTGACTTTTTTTCATTTTTTTCCCATCAAAAAGTGTCTTTTTATCCAGGCTTAGGAATTTATAAGCATGCATTCACTGGAGATTATCACTGATGCAAGCACCAGGGACACGCCTTGCCTGTCTGTGTCTTCTAATAGGGTTATAATAGCATCTGTAGTGTGATGAATAAAACTAGCTAGTGAATGGATGTCAAAATGCTCTCCCGTTTCACTTACTCCTGTTTAAGAATATTACTTCCTAAAGGGTCCCCTTTGTCCATTGCAGCGCACTGAGTGTCATCGGTACCTGGTATGTCACCATTGTGGTCATCGTGAGGTATATCTGGCCTGACAGTGATGTCTCTCCAGGCTATATCCCCACAAGGTGAGCTCAGACCCTGCCTTGACCACTGGGATCTCTCACTATGGTTTGCCTTGAAGTTTTCCACAGAGCAAATCACATTGCAAAACAATGGAAGTGTAGTTCTCACTGTCTTTTTGTGCATTTATGGACACTTTTGAGAAATGCTCCTGAAGGCAGCTAATTGAAAGACCTTTAAAATTAATTTTGCTGCCAGCACTTAAGGTAATTAAGCCTTTCTGAGTGGAAAGAGTTTATACTGAAAGCACTCATGAGGCAGTAAAGGTTAATATCTCCCAGGGAGGAGCCTGACAGTCAGATCTCTGCTCATTCTGAGATATTTCACTGCTGGGAGCTGATGATTTAATTAAAGAAAGGGAAATGGCTGTTCATCTCCTCAAACTATGAAAGATGAAAGAAAGCAACCTGTCTGTATTAATTTTTCATTCTTCACAATTCTTTCACAACTGATATGATTTTGGTTTTCTTTTATGTGGCCAGCAATGATAAAAGTTTCAGCCTAAATCCTTCAGGATGATGTTATTTAAGAAACACCTTGTTCCATAGTGAAAATTGTTGTTGTTATTGTATCGATCACTGTTAGAACCAAGCACATATGAGGCACATGATGTGGACAGAACTTGACCTCACAGAGACTTAATTAAAACCCAAGAAAAAAGCTAAAAATGGAACAGCACACAGTAAGTTTAGAAACAGCACCAACTACATATTTCACTTTATTTCACATAACACATGTTTTGATGCGGCAGCTGTATTCATAGGCTTGGCTGCGAGCAGTTCACATGGTTTACATACTGACAGGGTTGTTCAATTTTTTAGCTTCTTTTTATGATGGGACATTTCAAAAGGTTCCCTAGTAAAAATGTTAAAATACTAATAAACTACCTCATAAAATGTTTTCCACAGTTCTTTTGCTTGATTCCCCATTAAAGCCATAATAGAAGCAATTCCATTATGTTCGGGTGTGGTTACATAATTGCACGTGAATGGGTTTTCTTTGCCCCTGATTGTGCTGCAAGTTATTTGCAATGCACAGCCTCCTCTCTTGGGGCCTGTAAGAGTGGCGCGCCATTGCCAGTGCTGACGTTGGAGCCACAATAAAACCCTGAAAGGCTTTCTGGGAATCCTCTTATCGAACGCAGCAATCCAGTGAATTCTACTCCATACACATCTCAGAGACTCAGTCTCGTTTCTCCCTCCCTTTCATTCGTGGTTTTTTTACATATCACAATCGCCCAGTCTAATGTTGACTAATGTATGTGTATGTGCATACAAAAACACACATATGCTCACACCAAGGGAATACAGGGTAATTGCTTTCAATTATTTTAAATTGGATCATTCAAAAGAGCCTTGCGTGGTGAATTCAGCTCCAAGCGAATTGTAAAACAGTCTGTGATCAGTGTGATATTTCCATGTGCCTGAGTTACTGGAGTACCGGCTACATCAGACTGGAACTCGACACAAACACAGGTATTAACAACTGTAGCCTTGGTCAAACGAGTTCATTGTATGACTTGTAGTTTTAAAGCACCTGCCGGGTTATTTTTGTCTGCTGTTTTTCTGTAGGCATCTCAAGTTGGCGTATTGCTGTTTAAGTAGGCGCCTGTGAAGTCACGCCATGCTCTGCCCACAGCGCAGATGGCATCTGTGCTTGGTCCTCATCAGCGATGGGCTTTTGCACCATCGCGTAAACTGGACCGTTAATTTATTAGTCCAACCAACCTATCTGATAACGCATTGTGTTCATTTCATTTTCTAGTCCTTCCTCGTGGACGGCAGTTTTCAATGCGATGCCAACTATATGTTTTGGATTCCAGGTATTCATCTTTAATTATTATCTTTCATTTTGTCAGATTTTTATGCAAAGTGGCTTGCAATTGGGTGCAATTTATATATATATATGTAATTTTTTTTTTGCTATTCCATTATACATTTTGCTAGAATAACATGGATCAAGATTTGAGCCCCTTGTTCAGGAGTACAGCAACAGGCAGTATCCCCAATGGTGATCTGAACCTCTAACCTTTAGTCCTGCAGTCCAGAGCCCTGCCTATTACTGAACCTTGCCATCTTTGATATGACTCTTCCTGGTCATAATCCCCAGATAAAAGAGCAGGGATGATGGAGGATTTGCCTGGAGAGTGCGTGATGGAAGCATGCAGTGTATGAAATAGGTAAAAAGGGCCCAGTGACCTCCTCTCATTGTAACCTTCTGTTATGCTCTTACATGAGTGTGTGGAAGTCATGCGAGTGCTTCTTGGCCTCGGTTAGGGAACTGCTGGGTACTCCCTGAGCAGATCTTTGCAGATCTCTGGCGGTAATCGCCCTCTCCAGCTCAGACGCCACAGGTAAGAGTTGCCCACACTCACACTTCACCTCACAGTTTTTGCGAGAAAAGCTGTTCCTGTATTTCTTAGCGTGGTCCCCAGTGGAGCCGCGTTCTGTCTTGCAGTGTCACGCGGCGTGCCCCTGATCCAGGCAAACACAGAGGAAGAGGTCTCTGATGAAATTACAGAAGTGGAAGTTGGTTCACACGTAGGCTGACTTGCGGCATGCAGGTGGAAAAGCCTTCCGCTCGGGCCCAGATGTCGTAACCTTTGTTTCCCGCGCTCTCCTGATTTCAGTGCCACGTGAGCAGCGTGCCCGTGTTCAACAGCATGAGGAAGCCGGAGATAAAGCCCTGGGGTGCAGTGGTGACCGTCGGCATGATTATCTGTCTCTTCGTCTACACGGGCACAGGTGGGGAAAGGCCTGTTTTCCGGCGATCCTCTGCCCTTTGAGCAGTTTTAGCTGTGAGAAGTTGTCTCGGCAGACCCAGCCTGCATGAGCGGAGAGGCCTCAGGGGGGCGTCCTGACGACCGCAAGGACAGGCTTGGGGGGAGAAGAAGAAGTGCCTGGTCGCTTGGTCGAGCTGGCCCGGCGCCTCGGCTCTCTCTGACTGCTCCCCTTCTTGCAGGCGTGTGTGGGTTCCTGTCATTCGGCTCCAGCGTGAGCCAGGATGTGCTGATGTCGTACCCCTCGGACGACATCGCCGTGGCCATCGCCCGGGCCTTCATCATCCTCTGCGTTGTCACCTCCTATCCCATCCTGCACTTCTGCGGCAGGTAGGATCTGATGTGTGTGTGTGCACGCGTGTGCGTGTCTGCTGGTACCTGCTGAGAACAGAGAGAAATCTGCGTGGAGGGGTGTGTGCGTGGGTGTGTCAGCTTACATGTCCTGATATGTGGTATTATTTAGTCTAGCGCAGTGGTTCCCAGCCCTGGAATTCGCAGTTGGTCACCCCTGTACCTGTTTCTCAGTTTCAGAGCTGCCCTTGTTCAGGTGTGATACCTGAAATATAATCAGTGCAGAAGGAAAAAAGTTCATTGATATAGTCTATATAGTCTGATATATTTTCTGTTCACCAGTTGATCTGTTTAGTCAGAAATAGCAGCCAACCATTTAGGGGGTGTCTGCATGACTTTCTCTGTGCTGAAGTTGTGGGAAACAGTACTCCTGAAGTCTAAACAAGCAAGCAGGTGAATTAAGTCCCCTGTTTGCACTGGAGCTGTAGAGGTCAGCTGGAATAAAAAGCAGCCGAGAGTGTTTGTCCTGGCCAAGGGCTGCGAACTGTTGCTCTAAGCAGAGGATCCGCTAAAAAGTGTTTGTACTGAGCAGCAGCAAAAGAGAAAGTGCACCCTATTCTTTTTTAATGTGATATTCTGTTCTTGCATGTGATAAAATGTGCACCCAGTTTGGAATTCCCCTGTGCTGCCCCTGTGCCGTGCTGAGCTTGTGGGTGTGCTGCGGACCCCGGCGAGAGACGCTTGTCTTTCCATGTGCACCTCCCAGGCTGGGAGAGAAGCGCGTCTGTCACTATCAGCAAGCCACAGGGGTGTGAATAATAATCCTTACAGTTATATAGCGCTCTTCTGGACCCACCTGGATGATGCACCAGTACGCTCTTCACACATCTGCTCTAGGTGGGGGGGGAGCAGAGTGATGAAGACAATTCATAAATGGGGATTATTAGGAGACCATGACTGGTAAAGGAAGGGGGAGATCTGGCCAGGATGCCTGGGTAACACCCCTACTCTTTTGAGAGACACCCTGGGATTGTTAATGACCACAGAGAGTCAGGGCCTCAGTTTTACGTCTCATCCGAAGGATGGCGCCTTTTTACAGTATAGTGTCCCCGTCACTATACTGGGGCATTAGGACCCACACGGACCGCAGGGAGAGCGCCCCCTGCTGGCAGGTCCTCACTGCCCTTTGCCCCGGCAGGGCGGTGCTGGAGGGGCTGTGGCTGCGGTTCCGGGGCGAGCCAGTGGAGGTGGACGTGACCCGGGAGCAGCGGCGCCGGCTGCTGCAGACGGTGGCGTGGTTCGGGCTGACGCTGGTGCTGGCGCTCTTCATCCCCGACATCGGCCGCGTCATCTCCATCATCGGGGGGCTCGCCGCCTGCTTCATCTTCGTCTTCCCAGGTGCCCGCTCTCGCTGCGCTCGTGTGGCGCTGGAGGCGCTCTGAACACGAACCCCCCCACTGCAGAGCTTTTAAAGGGCTCGAGTCTGGTCTGATGACTGCTATTCTAGTTATCCACCAGAAGGTGGCGCAAGAGATTGTCACTTTTTAACACTGCTGGTCAGTTAGGAAAAGGACATTACAGTGGACGCCGTTTTCTGGTGGAGAGTAGCTTCTCCAAGTCATTTTTGTGTTTCCAGAAACGTGCATGTATTTATTGCACCTGAAAGGACGCGCCTCTTCATTTTACAACTCCAGCATGCGTGGAGATCTTTCATTGCGGAAGAAGTCCTCACGCAGTGTGGAGGCCAGGCAGAGACAGTCACAAAGTAATGATAAGAGTCATAGAGGTGCGGCTCACCCACACAAGTTGCTTGGTCCTGTCAAGAAACAGGGCATGCTGGGATATCTGAAGTCTTGCACTGTGAGATCTACGTCCATCTGCCTCTGCATACTTGCCACGAAAAACTGTTTTTTTAATGGGCTGGTATGCTTTAAAGAAAATACTGCACACGGTTTGGATAGTATCATTGGGACACCAGACAAATGATAGGAGAACAGCTTTACATGGCTGTTTTTAATAATTACTGTTTGCATCGCATTTTCTCACTCTAAAAGCACAGTGTGGGTGAAGACTAGTCCCACTTAACTTTCAAAGCACTGTATTTCAGCTCTGGGTTCAGCACAAACTAACACATTCTTTCAGATGGTCTGACAATCATTCTTAATTGCAATTAAAAAACAAGATGCTTGCAGGATATCTTGTTGTTTCCAGTTCTGCTGATGTACATGTGGTTGTCTCTCATTTCTCAGGGCTGTGTCTAATTCAGGCCAAGCTGTCAGAGATCCAGGAAGTCAAACCCTCAAGGTAGGCAAAATTCTTGTTGTTCCAATACGAGCCAATTCACTTACTTTCATTAATTATGGTGTTGAGAACCAGAAAGGTGAGCATACAATCTGTCCCTAAGTAACATGAGGAGAAAATGTTTTTAGGTGAGCGAGATTGTCATTTCTGTCATGCACACTGCAAAGTAATGTTATGAATAATGATTTCAAACCTTTGAATGTGAAAGAGAAAGAAATACTGTTTAAGTGGTATGGGCTGGTGTACGCAGCTTGTCACTAGAGGGAGATGTGACCCCCAACTTTTATTCTCTTCTGTCAGCTGGTGGGCTCTTGTGTCCTATGGTGTCTTCATGGTCACCCTGGGGGCTTTCATCTTTGGCCAGACCACCACCAATGCCATCTACCACGACTTCGTCCAGCACAAAAGCCAGTAGACCTTCAGCCTGCAGCAGGAGGAAAGGCAGCTCTGCAGCGCCCCCCTGTGGTGCAAGAGGATGACCAGCTGCAAGCAAACCAAACTGACATCATCACACCTTATCCACAGGGCTGCACCAGGGAGTCTACCTCTGTACAGGACTCTCCCTAAGAGTGCATGTAAACTAGACTGTAGGTGATGCTCACCTGTGTGCAGCCTGGCATTTCTTCACACAAGGGCTTCGGAGAATGTGTCTGTTCTGCGCAGCTCATTTGTAGAAATGTAAAAATAACCTGCAAGTCAAGGGAGGTCCGTATAGGTACCACGGAGGCAGCAATTATTAGCTGTTGGAAAACCATTAGGAGAACTGAGAATGTTTTCTCTTCTGCCCAAAGCAGTGCCAAACTGAAGGTGGAAGACACAATGTGCTAATTTGATGAGACTGAAATTTTTTATACAGCATTCAAAAGGGGGAAGACACAGCAAGCCCTAAATCATCTTTGCCTGACAAGACCAGGGCCTGTCCAGATTAAATTTCCTTATGTGCAGTTGGTTTGAACACAGTGATTAGCTGTTCGTATGATTAAGTCAAATCATTCTGCTGTTGATACGTCTAATGAATTTGTGATAATCATAGGGTTGCAGAAGAATGCATGTTTCTCTATCACATTCTATCCATTCCGGGAGTTTTAAAAAAAGAGAGATCTTTTTCTATTAAATGCCCAACCTTTTTATTGTTCTTAAAGTAATGGTAATAGGTGTTAAGTGCTCTGATTCTGTACTATGCATTTTCCCTGCCTATGATGGATTGCAGACAAGGTGAGAACCGCAAAGGTCAGAGGTCGCACCATTGCATGCTGGTGATTCTAAATGTTCCATTGTGGAAGAGGTTCTCTGGCAATGTGGGGGCCAGACAGAGACCGTCACAAAGGAGTGATAAGGGTGGCAGACTTTGAATTCTGTGTGTGTGTGTGTGTAAAGAATGATTTTCAAAACACTTGTGACATGTAAGGAAATTCGACAGAATTCTACATTTTAATCAAATCCTTTCAGAATCAGATGCTTTTTAAAAAATAATTAGGATACAGTTCATGTAAGTGTCTACTTCATTACAGTGTTCTGACTATGTTTCCTGAGATGTATACCAAGCATCAGACAGGAAGGCTGTGTGTTTTTATTCCAGTTCCTTTTATTCTTTCAACACACTAGATTAAATGTTTTTAAAATACCTCCATTATGTATTTAACACACTATATTGGCAACAATGGACTTGTCACCTGCATTTGAGATTATTATGGTCTCCATGGCATAGTGTTAAAATGAACTGATACTGAATAAGATGTAGCAATATTAGTTTTGGATACCCGTTTAAAGCAATTTTATAATGTGCATTGTACATTGTTTTTTTCTGTATTGTTGGACACTAGACGGAGCTAGTTTTATTTTGCACAAAAGAAACAACCAAATGTACTGTACGATGGATTGACTTTGTAGATATTGAAGAAGGTTATCTGTACTGAAAATGTATCTCATACCCATATCTGACACATGCCCGTTGGCATTGCTTGCACGCTGCCTTCAAAGAGGTGGCTTCGCTTGCAAGGTGGAGGCCTGATTGAGCTCTTTAAACTCGGATGCTGGTTACATTCATGTTTAAAGAATACACCTTCTCTGTTTCCAGAGGAAAAGGACAAAAAGTTTATCCTTTTATAGAATCTGTATGTTCGAACTGGAGGTACACACCTCTTGCAAATAGAGTTTTTAAAGTCACGAGTTTTGACTTCATTTCAAGTGAGCCTCATCTTGCACTGTTACCCATGCAAACACTCAGCTTGCCCATTGCTTCCTGTATACCTTATGAAGGAGAGCAAACCCCATGCAGGGAGATGACTTTATTCAGAGCTGAGTAATATGCAGGATGTTATTTACAGTTTATTTTTTTCTAGGAGCACATTAATTTTCCTCCCTCCTGTAAAGGCATTACTCAAATTCCAAAGTTGTTTAATTGAAATCCATTGGAAGTGTACTGTTTTACAGATTGTTTTGATATGTTTTTAATTTTTCCATTTTTTACCTTTTAGATTTTCACACAATAAAGGGAATCATGCTGCTAAGGGATTGTCTGCACTAGCCTGTCGCAGTGTGTTGATTGCAGAATTACTGTGGCTGTCCTTATGTTCCGTGTTCTGACTGGGTGGATTTTTAAAGTCATAGAGAAGTGGTGAAATATCTTCTTGCTGTATATATTAAAAAATTGTGTTCATTACTCATAAATGGTAAGTGGAAGTGATCTTTGTGCTAAATACAAAACTTATTATTGCTTGAACAAGACTATAATAATGGCTGGGTTAGCAAAGTACAACTGGCAGGCAGGCTGACGTCTGTATTTCAGACATTAGTCAATTTTAAGTAATCTCTTCACAGGGGCTTTTAATTCTTTAAAAATTGGCTTACGGTATGTGTATTAATCAGTCCCTTTCCTATTATAAATTACACCCTGTAAGTGTAATCTTACTTAATGCTTTGTGGGAAGTTTAGGGAACTTTTTGCACGTTTTCAATGTTTGTAGAGAGTGTTGTGCTTTCACCCTTTCACATTTCACGACAATGTATTTTCAGCTCGTGTTAAAAAATTAACTGGAATGCGATAATAGCTGTACCTTATCGAAGGGCTTTTCCATTAAGCCACATGGATAGAATTATAATGGAAGAAAAACATTTCCTTTATCAGCTTTATATCTCCCATAAGTACATTTGCATTTCCTGGCTCATATAAATTATGTAATGCACTGTGAGTTTTATAATGTTTTGTTTTTAATGTGTAAATCATACTTAGGAAGGGTAATAGTGTCATTCCTCTATGTATTTTCTCCATGTCCATCAGCTTGTGCCTGAACATGATCATAAGCATAACTTTAGTCTGAATAGCATGTTTTCCATGAGGTGTTTCAAATGACTATTTTAAGTTCATTCCAGCCATTATCCATAGCTGCTTCAGCTTATAGAGTGGAGTCCAGTTTGGTAGAGACAAGGTTGTAGGGTGGGCTCTCCATCTCCATATGTGCACACACAATTTAGAGACCCCTCTCTGCCTAGTCCGTGTCTTTTCACGGAAAGGTAACACACAGGTAAGGGAACGTACAAAATCCATACAGAAAGCTCACCACATCAGAATCAGTCCCGAGACCCAGGAGTTGCGAATTACAAACTGTTTCTCAGGAAATCAAAACTCACAGAGACACACGGAGATGTTACATTAGGATTTTCTTTCCAGCTTCTGTTTTTTTTTTTTCCCACAGCACTATTATTTTAAAAGTTTATTGAAATCATGGGGGGAGTCAGTCTGATGAAGGCATTGCCCAGGTGCAAGGTTCTCCTTGCAAGAAAGGACAAAAAACAAGTGCACATAGCCTTCTGCACTTGATGCACCCTCTGGCTACCTGGAAACTTCTGTTGTTTTTTTAAGGTGTAAACCCAGCAAGCCTGGCACTCTGTCTGGAAGGTCAGGAGAGGCAACGGAGGAGACCAATGTGACTCCTGTCTGGGACGTCCCTCCATTTCCAAGAAAGCCCCCTATCTTGTGCAAACATTCAGTCTATATGTTCTTAGCAGCCTGACTCTGCCTCAGACAGAACACCCTATCATTAAGAAACAATTAGTGCAGACTTTAATCTCCAAAAAAGGACATTTGAGATTTTTTGTAATAATTGTATAAATCTCTGCCTTATGTCACAGAGTGTTCTATTACTACCTGTAGATGACAATAGTAAAGTAGAGTCACCTTGCTTCTAGGCACTCAGAGAACTCGGTGTAATTAATTCTTTAAATGCTTAGTGATGCCATATTAGGAAAACATGAGAAAATGTGAAAGAAGTGATTTCCCGTTAGATTTTGGTCCTTTTATTAAAGAAGTATTTTTTTTATTTGTCCTGTCTTTGAATCCAGTAGCTCAAGTTGTCTGGTGATCTCCTCCATCCATCCCTGCTTCTGCGATATTCAATGTTGTATTCTACTCCATGCTGACAAAACACTGTTAAACAGAGGATGTCTCCAATTTCTGCCTCTTCTGCTGCTTTTTAATACATTTCCTGTCTTGGTAAAATAAATCGGTCCAATTCTACAATACAGCCAGCAAATTTTCTGATCTGGAGTAAACCTGCTACTCTCCAATCAGCTGATCAAAGACTTCAGGTTCCTCGGCTTAAGATTTGCTCTTCGTTGTTTTACAGTCAACCACTTTAATTAAACTTTTAATTAACCACTGAATAAGTTCTGTTCTGACATCCACTCCCCCTTTTAGGCTGCTGAGATAATTTGTGTTGTAGAGATTGATCTGTGTGGTTTAATCCTACCACTCCTGTATTTTGGCACCTACTTAAAGAAAGACACATTGATCTATAGACTAAATGGAAATTTAATTAGCATTAAATCATATGACATTGAGATGTAAGGAGTTTCCCTTCAACATTCTAGATTGTGCTTTTGGCCCCATAATTGCGCACATAATTACAATGTGGCGTGTAATACAGAGATTTGGGAAATCCCCCAAAATATTGCTCCCATTCTCCAGGTAATTCCTTTGTCTCACCGCCTTGGAGAAATAAAGGGGTTTTCATTCTTGCAGGTAGTTTTAATGAAGATGGTCTTTGCTCATTCCAGGACTTGCAATTTTAGCAAGACATATCTGGCCTTTGTTTCTTTTCATATGGGCGTCCTTGCTCTGCTTGTGATCACATAATTTAACCTGCCTGCACTTCCAGTACATATTCCAAATGTGATCATTGCTACTGGTCCTGATACTGATTTGTTGCATTTTAATGCCTCTCAGCTTCATTGCTTTCTGGAATTGTACAATTGGACCTTTCTAAAATTCCCCATTAATCCGACTAGTGAAGCAGGGTCTCACCTGATCTGCTATGTAGTGGGGCTGCACTGTTAAATGAAGGTTAGTCTCCCCAAGTACTGTAGGTAAAGAGCTTTGGGCTTTGAAGGAAAAGTGCTCCATAAATGCAAGACATTTTATAATTATTAATCTATAATCTATAGTACAATCATGGATTTCTCTAATGAAATCCTAAACATGAGAAATTAGCTCCAACGTTTAGTGGCGCTCTTGTTTTTAAGAGCACGACACGTGCCGCTGAAACAGGCAGGTTATCCTGTGTCCCACCTTGGTGTGTTTATAAACAAGTACAAGCAGAAAGGTTTCTTGTTTGCCTCACCAAGAATAACCCAGCTTGCGATAGCACTGAAGTCTCTTATCGTGGCCCAGATAAGAGGAGAGGTGAGTGGGTATAAAAGCCGGAGCACAGGAGGGGGAGTGTACCTGAAGAAGACCATCTGAGAGAAGATGTTCGCGAAGTGCAGTTTGCTCGTGGCCACTCTGTGCCTGCTGGGCTGCTGGGGTCAGTACGCTCCTGACCTGGTGACCTCACTCCCGGGGCTGTCAGAGACCCCCAACTTCAAGCACTACTCCGGATATCTCCAGGCTGGGTCTGGCAACTACTTCCATTACTGGTGAGAACCCAATAGCTCCTTTCCTGGCGATTTCCATATGCCTTTCCTCGTTTCCATGCACAACATCAGCTCCGAAAATAGATCTGGTGCCTGTCTAGTCTCGGTTTATTTCTTGTGGGTGTACCTTCTGTCTCTTTTTCCTTAGAAATTGGTTTGTGACTTTATTCTCTCCTACTGAAAACTTTGCAAGGAAAGTTGAGAGCGTCAGGATGCCTTTGGTCTTATATTTACTGTTCAAACAATTGTGTCTATCAGCCCTTTAATGTTATGTATGTCTTAATGATTTAATGTCTTATAATGGTTTGTAGCCTAAAAGCCAGTGCACGTCTTTATTCGTTGCTTCCCTTCAAAAAGACTAAACTGAGTGTCTTCCGGAGGGACAGGCTGGGTGCTCAGTGTCAGAGTTTGTCCCCACAGGTTTGTGGAATCCCAGAACAACCCCTCTACAGATCCCCTGATCCTGTGGTTGAACGGAGGTCCTGGCTGCAGCTCTATGGATGGGATGCTGTCGGAGAATGGCCCTTTCCATGTGAGTCCTGCTCTGATAGTGCTGCAAAACAGGGCCTGGAATCGTAGAGCAGGCCTCACAGAGGAGGGTGTTCATACGAACTCACTTCTGAAGCTTAAGATTCGAATGGAGTGTCTCAGTCTAGCTAGAAAGATCATCTACACTTCACAGTTTAATATTGAAGTCTAAGAACCTTCCCGCGGTATGTATTATATCTCCATGCTCAAGATTGTTAGTCTATACTCTCAACCCCAAGCTGCATTAATCTTGTGATCAACCAATGGATCTGTTCCTGGGAGCTGCTGTTCTTGCTGCTCCAGAAATGCAGGTTTTCCCAGCTTTGGGACTGACGGAAGCTCGTTTTGACTCGCCTCCCTCCTCTCCTCCTCAGCTGAACGATGACGGCACTGTTTACATGAACCCGTACAGCTGGAACAAGCTGGCCAATGTTCTGTACCTGGAGTCTCCGGCCGGCGTGGGCTTCTCCTACTCCACCAGTCAGAACTACCAGACCAGCGACCCGCAGGTCAGAGGGGAGCACTGGGGAAAGGGCTGGCACTGCGGGCAATTCAGAAATGCCCATCGATACACACACGCATACAGCACCAGTTTAGGAATGCAAATGAGCACATACTGTACACACAGACAGTTTAGAAACACCAATTAACACAGACAGTAACAGCTTAGAAACACCCATTGATCTGTACAGTATGTCTCTGAGTGGTGCCAGAACTGGTGCCCGCAGACAGAAATCACACAGCAAAGGGGCAAAAAAACCCCACAGAAGGATAAATATCAGATTCAAAGACAAGCACACCAGAGATGTGAGACAGCAGTGCGAACCTAGTGCCTTGACCACTCTCTTTAACTTCTCACACCAGGTGGCTGCAGACAACTACCAGGCCCTGCTGGATTTCTTCTCCAAGTTCCCCTCCTTTGCCGGCAACGACTTCTACGTCTTCGGAGAGAGTTATGGGGGGATCTACGCGCCCACCCTCACCCAGAAAATCGCCAGCAGCTCCAACAGCATCAACTTAAAGGTATAGGCCCTCGGGCCTGCCCCCTCGTGCGTGGCAGTTAAATGCTACCGTTCCGTCCAATCTTTTTTTTTACCAGCCGGTGAAAAAAAAAAGGGTTTTCTTTTGTATTTTGTTTTAACCATGAGATAGAAACCTCCCAGCAGCTCAGCAGTGCCTGAGCCTCGTTCTGCCTAGGCTGAAGGGAGAGAGTAAAGAGCGTTGTGGTTCTTGTATCTTTCTTCAAGGGAATGGGTGTAGGCAATGGAATGACCAGCTATGCTCTCAATGACCAGTCCCTTGTCTACTTCGGATACTATCATGGCCTTTTCGGAGACAAGTAAGTAGCATTTCCAGTGCCCCGATTAACTGATTACCAGACAGGGTTCCCCAATCCTTGTCCTGGTTTGCTGTTTTTTTTTTTTTGCAGTAAATAGTTGAATCCTTCACAGAGTCAACACTTTCATTCTCTACACATGCAGGCGGCTGCCTTTTAAACTGTTGTGTTTCTTAAGTAACGTAAAATCTCCAATGATTAAGTGGGAAAAACCAGACTTGTAAAGGTTGTTGCCAAGCATCTTCTGGGTTGTTCGGTTAAAGATTCATTTAATTAAAGAGCTCAGCAGGTGTGTGCAAGCCCCCCAGACTGGGGGTCTCCTGAACCAACACACATTGCACTTATACCTCACAGTAACAATACTGCGGTATTCAGACAATCACCAAGCATCCTCCACAGTGCTGTGACACAACTGTCTCTGCAGAGCACTAACATGAAGGAAGTGTAATGCTAACGGACAGGACAGTGGCCTCTTACTTCAAGGGATATCTACACTACCTTCATTTCAAAAAAGCTGATATGAGTCCAGGTTCCCTCCTGTCTGTGCTTAAGCTTCCCAGGGATGAAAGCAGGAAACTGGGCAACTTAACGTTATGCTCAGGAAGTTTGTGTCTGAGTAATTGAGTGTGTGTTTCTTGTTGTGCCCAGCCTGTGGAGCACACTGAACCAGTACTGCTGCTCTGGAGACTCCTGCAACTTCTACAGCAGCTCCAACAGCAACTGCCAGGACGCGGTACGTCTCCTCTTCCTTTCTCTTCTCGTTCACCTTTTTCAGTGGAGGATTTTCCCTGCAGGAGGAGATGCTTGTCTGCAGGCTGGCACGTGCTCGGGTGTTTGTTTCCGTCTTCAGTCAACAGAAAAGAGTCAGGCGCTCATTTCCTTGGAGGATCATTATCAAAACTGGGAGGTCTACCATGTGTTATTCTAATGAGGTCCGTGTAGGTTCTTGGATTAGCTGTACAAGCTAAGAGAAACAATACATGTGAGATTTCTCACTGCTTTCCACAGAGGAAAAAGCACATTGTTTTGTGAACTAACTTGGAAGTGCTTTAAAAGGTGAGCATTGGAGGCATTTCTTTATGCAAAGGGTTGTGGGAGCATGGAACTTGTTACCCAACCATGTTGTTGAAGCCTAACTACCAACTACCACAGGGGCTGGATGGGCCTCCTCTTGTATGTAGCTGTTCTTTTGTTCCCATGGTTACCTTTCTGCGTGTCTTTGTGTTGCAGGTGTATCAGGCTCTCTATGAAATCCAGGACATCGGCCTCAATATCTACGACCTGTACTCTGAGTGCTATGGTGGCGCAGGGTACAGCGGTCTCTATGCTGCCGATACCTCCAACCTCTTCCGCAATTACAATTTCCGTTTCCAGGCCCCTGTGAGTCTCTCTGCCTAGCTTTCTACAGGCCCTCTCCCAAAACTTCTGCAGTGTTATAGTCAGCCCTAGTTTCTAAAGCACTTCATGCAGCAACAGAAACAGATTTCAGTATAGAAGTACTGGTTAATGTTGTAGCATAAACTACTTTTATATAGTGTAAGGTACCAACAATTCTTCATTTTAGAGACCCGTGCAAACAATATTGAAATAGCGGTGCAATCAAAAAAGTTCCTCTGCATGGAAACAGCACACTGTTCATGCCTTGATAAGATGGGCCGTGTTGGCTGAAAACAGAAAAGGTTTAGAATAGGAAGATTTGCTGTACAGCAGGATGTGCTGTTATTGTGCAGCCGTCTGGGACTGTGCAGAAGGCACAGTAAAAATCTGCTCTCCTGTCCTCTGCTGTTTTCCCTGCTCTCTCTCTCAGGTGGAGGCCTCCATCCCTGGAGACCCTCGCTGTATCAACGGCACAGCAATGTATTACTGGCTGAACACCCCAGCAGTGCGCGCAGCTCTGCACATCCCCAGCTTCGTGCAGACCTGGGAGCTGTGCAGGTCAGGATCCTCTCTCAGCACACACAAACAACAGCTTTGAAGTCAGCTGCATTCAGCTAAGGAAATGTGAAAGAACAGGCACTAACTTGCACATGTGTTCATGCAGAATAACACTTGAAGAAAGCAGCTTCTGAGTTTCTAGCTATGTTTGATTACCAGTCGATCGATCCATCCATTCTTGTACGGCTAAGGGTCATGGCAATATGGAGCCTATCCTGGAAGCAAATGGTGTAAGGCAGGACTGTACCCTCACATGTGTGACCCACACACACTAGCATACGGTGACAACGTAGAGACACCAATCAGTCTTTCTTTCAGGGCTGGGAGGCAATCTGAGCTTCCTGGGAAAATCCCACACAGATGGGCAATAGTATGAGCAAACTACACAAAAACCAACACAGAAGTTGCTCCAATTCCTGAACCGATCCCAGGTTCAAGCGGTGCTAACTGCTGCGACGTGCCCTATACCCCATCTGTCAACCCAAATCACAAAACCAGGAAGGCAAGTGAATGTCCCACGTGCTGAAGGGTTTATGCTGAAAGCAGTGGCTCTCTTCTCCTGCTCACAGCCATACGGTGGGCTCCCTGTATCAGAGGACCTACCAGGACATGACCTCGTTCTATCAGGACCTCCTCCAGAAGAACCTGCAGCTGCTGGTGTACAACGGAGACGTGGACATGGCCTGCAACTTCATTGGGGCCAAGTGGTTCGTGGAATCCCTCAACCAGCAGGTATGAGCTTCAGAAACGCCAAGGCGTCCCGGTCCTGGAATTTTATAGGGTTGAAGGTCTCTTCTGTCTTGGGATCTGTCATCATGGGCTTCTGAGTGGTGATGGACTCTGGACTGATATGAGCTCACATGGGTGACTTCTTATTTTGCAGCTCGTGAGCCAGTACAAGCCTTGGTTTTACAATGACCAGATTGCAGGCTATGTGGAACAGTATGAGAAGATCACATTCCTCACTGTCAAGGTAGGCCAAGCTGTATGCATTACCAAGCTGGTGGTTTTGAGTCACCTCTGCTATTAAGTCAAACATGTCTCAATCATTCAGGTTGCATTTCAGCTCTTATACAAGGCCCACTAAGAATAGGATAGTGGCCATTCAATAACAGATGTGTATAGCACTGTACATTACTTCTCTACATGCACAGCAAGGATTCCACTGCCACACCTTGACTCAGGCTTCTGCTTTCTGTCTCGTCTCACAGGGTTCTGGCCACATGGTCCCCCAGTACAAACCGGGACCAGCTCTGCAGATGTTCCAGAACTTCCTCTCCAACTCCTACTGACGTTAACTAATGCTGCTTCTGTAGATACAGGCCATCCTAATCAAAATGTATGATCAATTTAAAGAAAAAAAGATCATGTACATAATCCGTTTCTGTCATTTCTGTATATAATAGCAACTCCAGAAATCATTGTGTACCGGCAATTAAAGTTGAAATACAAATGAAACTTGTTGTTTTTTCCCTTTCCTGCACGTCTTTTAAATTGCTGAGCTGCAACACAGCTTTTTCTACAATTAAGGGGATCCCAGAACAGACAATCCTTAAAATCCTTAGATTTGCATTACTGACATTTTAGATGGCTGGAGGCTAAATCACTTGCTGCTCCTCTCATTTACTCAGATGGATCCTGAGAACCCCACTGAGGCTGGACAAGAGCACTCCACATTACTGTCATCCACACAGTCCATTAGGAACAAGATGCTGAAGGGCTTTACTACTGCAATTGGGGGATCATAACCTGTTTTTTATTTAAAAACAAAGAGAAAACTTAGTAACATAATAAATCAAATCTCTTTCCATTCCACAAGATTATGCCTGCACTCTATTGTTCTCCTATGTCTTAAATTAATAAAAACACTCATTCAAAAAGACGATCAAACCTTTATTAGAAAAAGAGAATACAAATATTGCAACAGACGGACCAGTGGTATGTTAAGCAAAAATACTGAACTGCAGTCAATCAGAGGTATTGTCATAGGAATGTCTGACGGCACTAAATAAAAAGTAGCAATCAATAAAATTTAATCACATTCTCTTTCTACTCACTTTTTCCCCCCGTAGATATGCGTTTTTCAGTGCTGAGCTAAAATTTTAATAAACATGATCTGGCATTCCCTTTCAGAAAAGTGCTATAACAGTGCCGACTGATTATTACCAATATTCCTGCTACAGGTCACGTCAATCCCAGAGTCGTGAGATGGGACCACACCTTCAACAGGATGCTAGTCCTTTGCAGGTCAAACACACAGTTTAGAAAGAGTAGAAAAATTTTGAGACACCAACAAACCTATCCATCACTAGGAGGTGGAAGAAAAATGGAGCACCTTAAAAATGTAATATTACTGCACTCCCCAAACTTTCAGTGTGTTTGAGTGCACAAGTCTGAAGCATATTTTAACAAAACAAAACAGTCAACATGTATTGAACAGGACAAGTGCAATGAGTTTACATGTATGCACAACTCAACTCATGAATTGAAAGGAAGTGTATAAAAGTTGCATATTTATAAAGTCCCAAACAAACAGACATTTTTGAGAAGAGAATTTTTCAATTTTACACAGGCGCAACAAACACTAAACTCAATAGAATTCATACCTGAATTTTAACTATGTACTACAGTCATTTTACTATTACATCTTTAAGTGTAGGATCTTAACATGGAGGTATATTAAGAGTAGAATCAATGTACCTCTAAGATTACACGTCAAATAAACAGCAAAATACACCTTTAATTACTACCTGAAATAATTCACATAAAGATTTCCTGCAAGAAACAACTATTAAAAATGACAATGTTTTTAATGACTTTCTAAACATTTTATTTTCACCCTCTTTGCATGAGATGTGATGATTAAGAGGATTTCAACACATTACTTGGACCAAAGATCAGTTGACAAAAAAAGTGATTTTTACCTATTTTTATCCCCAAAGTGTACGAACATAAGGTTTTCTTTCTGGAAATAGTTCCTTATAATAAGGCTGAAAGGGCTCACAGAAATATTTACCCTTCCTACTGATAAAACAGTTTCAGACAAAATTATACAATCTTTGGTTTGTTCTGGCAGCCACGCTTTCTTAGTTTGCTGATCAGTTGATCACTGGAATTGATCGCTGATAAAGGCCCCTGGTGAGAATGTCCCAGTGCAGGACAGCAGGACAGCTCAGTAAGGGGCGTTGGCCAGGAAGGACTGGAACATGTGTAAGGCTGGCCCTGGTGCCCACTGTGGAACCATGTGTCCAGCACCCTGGGGGAGAAAAGGTGAGAACCACAGACAAGTTCAAGTTTATTTGTCATTCCAGCCATATACATGTATACAGTGGAACGAAATATCGTTCCTCCTCGTCCACGGTGCAAATACAGGCAGGACAGACGGGACACTGACATAGACATTGTAGACAGGATACACATAGTGCAAAGTGCAGATGGTGTAAATGACAAGGTAAATACATAATACAATCTACACAACACACTGGGGGGATTTAAACCCTGTTTCTGGAATTGGGGTGGGCGCAAGTAGATTCCAGGGTGTTGAGGAGCCCGAGAGCCTGCGGGAAGAAGGCTGTTACAGAGTTTTCAGACTGAAAACAACGAAGGAAAGAAAGATGGGAAAAGGGCTCAACTGGAACAAGAGTGAAGAAGCTCGTCAGTCTGATTACCCAGCAAGAGAACGCGCTTCTGGAGGAAACAGACTCAGGTAACACTGGAATGTTACTGCATAACTGCCACATGAGATGATAATAATAATAATAATAATAATAATTGCTTACACTTATATAGCGCTTTTCTGGACACTCCACTCAAAGCGTTTTACAGGTAATGGGGACTCCCCTCCACCACCACCAATGTGCAGCCCCACCTGGATGATGCGACGGGCAGCCATAGTGCGCCAGAATGCTCACCACACATCAGCATATCAGTGGGGAGGAGAGCAGAGTAATGTAGCCAATTCATAGAGGGGGATTATTAGGAGGCCATGATTGATAAAGGCCGATGGGGAAATTTGGCCAGGATGCCGGGGTTACACCCCTACTCTTTTCGAGAAACACCCTGGGATTTTTAATGACCACAGAGAGTCAGGACCTCGGTTTTACGTCTCATCCGAAGGACGGAGATGTTATAATCACAGGCATGATGCCTTTTGACATTAGCTTTAGCACCACATCATACCAAGCGCTATAAATGGTGCTAAAGCAAATGTCATGACCTCTGATGCACACATTAAGTCATTTGCGCATGTGCCTGTAAAGCAGTATGCATGTCATGATAACATCTTGTGTAGCAGTTACGAAGGGAGCTCGAGCCGTTTTGCAGCAACATCCCGGTAAAGCTTTCCTGAGAATCAGAGCTATGGGATGGATTCACACAGGTCAGGGGGGAGCAGGAGTAGGCTGCGGTTCTCAGTCTCAACGGGAGAAAGAAACAAACGAAGGAAAGCTCCGGGCGATCCAGGGACAGCGACAGAGCTCGGTAAGAGGCCGGTTGTGCTCACTTTCACAGTAAGGAAGGTGATGTTGCCGAACTGCTGGTAAAACCCAGCAATCTGATGGTCGTACAGCCAGGGCTGGTAATCTGTGGTTTTCTGTTTAGCACACAAAAAGAAAAAAAGAAATTAAAACGCTGCCAGATCATGTATTCATCCAGATGCCGTTATGATGGCATTACGAGTAACTTCCATAGAATTTTGTCTGCCTGATCAACCGATTTTAAGGCTTTGCCAGTCCTTGTCATGAGTTTGCACGCGTGTTTGGCGACTTTCATACAGTGAAGCTTCACTGGTGTTCATTCCGTCCACAAACGTCAAGACGAAAGTCAAAGATGATGGAACGCTCACGAAAATAATCAAGTGACACAGACAAGGACTAAATGACTTTGCACTTTTAAGTAAAATAAGATCAGACAAAATCACCGGTTTGACTGTTCATGCAATTACTTCCTGTCTGAAGAGCAGCTTGGTGTCTGTAACTAGGGTTAAGACTGTAGGTGGACTGCAAGCCAACTCGCTCCGGCTTCACCCACTGCAGCTGAATTTTATTTCCTCCGACTGCCGTTTCCATGAGCGATCCTTTTGAGTCAAGCGGCCAGCTCACCTTCTGGCTCAGCAGCTCCACAAACCACTGGTCACCCAGGAAGTTGCAGGCCATGTCGGTGTCTCCGTTGTACACCAGCGCCCGAAGGCCCAGCCCCAGCAGCTTCAGGTAGACGTCCCTCACCGTGGAGTACAGGATCTTGTAATGGCTGCCCACCTCCTCGCTACAACACAGGAGTTACAACTGTAGAGCTCCATCGCACCACAGCAGGCTTAGCTCATCGAAGAAAGAGGACAGACCATCCGTCTTGTGACAGCCTTCATAATCCAACTGAAAGAGTGTGACATTCAAATACAACTGGGCATCACAGCATACGTTGTATGTTGGTGTTTGAAATATTCCCGTGCAGTGTGTGCCCTTTTACGTTCTGTGCTTAAACAGATATGACCTTGCCCTAATTGCATCATCATGATAACGCAAGAGGTCGATGTTTTACAACGGAATGAGCCAATACACGTTTGGTTGAGGTCTGGTTACAGGTTTGAGCCGAGACGCAGGCAACTGGCGATTACAGATTGCAGAGGTGTAACAGATAACGGCAGGTTCTACAGAGGGGGCAAACGCAGAGCCCTGCTTACCTGCAGATGTCCCAGGGAGGCAGGGTGTCGGGAATGTGCAAGGCCTTGCGCACGTCTCCCCGGTTCAGCCAGCTGGTCTGGGCGGTACTGTTGATGCAGGGAGGAGCCTCTCTCACAGCCAGCTGCAAGAACACAGACTCCTTCACAAGAGCCAATGCCCTTGAAAGACACTGCCAATAACGGAGAGGAGACTGGACAGCTAATCCTCTATTAATTAACCCCAGGAATTCCCAGTCCCGCCTGCTGCTTTTGCATTCCATCTTAATTAGCTTGAACTTTAGTTTAATTAAGCTTGAGCTTTATTGCTAAACCGAAGCCTTAATTGGATGAATAATTTGCTGGGTTGGAACACTGCCAAGCTTTTTTTTTTCCTATTTAAAAGTTGTGGAATTTTGTGTTGCTTATAGTGTGAAATGCAGTTATTGAAAGGTTACCTCCAACCTCTGCAAGAGCTGAAAACAGTCAAACGGTTGGAATTAATCGTATTATTAAAGTCAGTTAAGGGTTCAATTCCATAACTGAGAGCTTGACTGGCACAAATCCCAGCAGGTAAGTGGGTCTCCTGGACCAGGACTAGGAACCTGGTGCAACTATTATATTTGATCTTTTCTCTCCTAATGTATAAAAACCTACACTTGAGGACTTTTTGACACAGCAGACCTATAACATGCTTTAACTGTACTCATAGGTAGCTGTAATGTTCTTCTTCTCATATAACCTTTCTGCTTGAAGAACTCGGAAGCTAAACAGAGGTCATATAGACGCGCTGTTCACCAAAATATGTGAAAGTTAGTTCCTTACCAAACTGGTATCCCAGTGCGGCCTGTAGTTCCGAAAGAGGTTCTGCATGTCCCTGTGATAACGTGCAGCTGTCCCCACACCGCCAGCGCAGTCCAGATACAGAGCATAATCGTTCAGCCCAGAATCATAGATAATATTAAATGCACGGCCCACCTGCCAAGAAGACAGAAGAAGCTGTTCAACTTCCATCCATCCGCTTCCAACCTCTTGGTCCGCAACATACAGTGGTCACGCTGAGCTGGAACCTAAGCTGGCAGACCATGGGGGCAAGGTGGGATACCCTGCGGTCAGGACACCAGTCCATTGCAGGGCATTCACACACCGGGGGGGGGTCACCATTTACTCTCCACACTGAAGGTACCCCAAACAAGAAATGAACCTAAGACCCCAAGAGTTGTGATGCGGCCTTGCCTTTCGGCAGAAACCTTAAAGCTAAAATAACACCAGCTCATTAAGAATGCGTTTTCTGCGCATCAAGAATCCAGACCTTTGTTTTAAATGGGGCAGATGTTGGAAAATTACACTTTTCTCATCAGATGTGCTTCATGCTTCCAATGCTGTATTATTATTCACGCACTATGGAAGAAACTGGGAGACAATACCGCCTGAATGCAGCCCGTGTCACTGCTGTTGTAGAAGTTACATGTCCCATCTTTGCAGCAGTTCCTGTTCAAGTCAGCCCACAGTCTACAGAAAGAAAGCAAACATACACACTTTACACAGAACATTAATCTAGATGTTGATGTCCTCTCCTTTGCTATGCCTGCATTCTGGTTGTGTGAGATTTTTTATTTGTTATGCAGTGGCTAGTACCAGTGACGAAGAGGATCTCTTTGTTGATTGCAGTGGCATGTGAAATTGAAAGGCTCCACCCACAATGCACAGCTGCGATGACCTCACTTCCTGAGCTCAATGATGAGAAAACTGATGCTTACTTTTCTCCAAACAGTCCATGGTAGTACGCAAAGTAGATAAGAGACTGGTAGTTGAGGTCAAAGCTGCTGATTCCATTGCCAACTGCAAATCCCTAGAATGAGGAAAAGAGCAGGAATAGGAAATAAGGAACTAGCTAGAAACTTGTTAGGAGAGCACCCTCCCCCAGAGGTCACATCGTTTGGCAATACCTTCAAATTGATCTTGGCAGAGCTGTTGGCAATCCTGAGGCTCAGGGTGGGTGCGTATATCCCTCCGTAGCTCTCGCCAAATACATAGAAATCGTTCTTGGTGAAATTGGGAAATTTAGTAAAGAAACTCTGCAGGGCTTTGAAGTTGTTGTCAGCCACCTGTCAGAAGACACGAAGCAGGCAGCTGTGAGCAACAGACTCCATCCTGGAAGCACAGGGTGCACAGCAGGAATACAGTATATATATAAATGTGTACTCAGACACAATAACCAGCTACCCCAGCCAGCAAGTTTTTGAAAGGTGAGAGGAAACTGGAGCGCCCAGCGAAAATCCACACGAGCACAGAGAGAACATGTCCAGAAGTCCCCAGAATTCCCCTGTCCTGCATCGAACCTAGGACCCAGGAGCTAACCCCTGTCCAAGAGCCACAATAATCAGCATTTTGACTTTTACATCATGGACACCGAGAGGGTACTGTTGCGTTTTGGCATCAGGTTCTTTTTATTTACTTAAACTCGGGCTGCACTGACCTCATCGTCGTTGGTTCTGTAGTCCTTATCGTCTGAATAGGAGTAGCCCACACCAGCTGGAGACTCCAGATACAAGACATTGGCAGCTTTATTCCAGCTGTAATCGTTTAGGTACAGCGTGGCTCCGTCATCAGTCACCTGCCAGAAAGGATGGGTAAATGAAGCTCAAATGGTAATGTAGAAGAGGAACTGATTTTTAGACCATGTGCTGCACAGGTATGAATTTACACCAGACAACTGTTGCTAGCAATATTGGCTGTTCGGCCAATTTCTACACTTCTCATTGTCCCCTTGCTTTTGTGACTTCTTTTCGTTTTCGGGTTGGATCTATGAAGGCCTGGAACAAAAACCTGGAAGGTGAATTTGTCTCCAAGCTAAATGAAATCTGGAACGACCACAGAACTCTAAGGAAAAAAAAGCGTCCCCTGCGATAATGATCAAGTGCAGAAGACGACCATGAGTTTTGCGGGCAGTTTTGAGCAAGTCTCAGAGGGAGAGCTCAACACTGAGGTAAAAAAAAAATTACTCACGTGGAAAGGCCCATTCTCTGAGAGAAACCCATCCAGGGAACTGCAGCCTGGACCACCATTCAACCACAGGACAAGAGGGTCTTTAGCTGGGTCTCCCTGGGATGTCACAAACCTGCAAGGCCAAAACAGGGAGAAAACGGCTATAATCAACACCTCCCTCTTCATTTTTTATCTGAGTGTTATTTTCAGAACTATACTACCTACCACTCAGCAATAAAAATATTCACATATTGGAGTACATTTTCAATTTGCAAAGCTAAAAATATAGCGAGAAACAAAGGGGTCTTCACCTGTTGTCCCAGACAGCCCCAGTACATGTGCACACACCACGTTCACTCACATTGTTTTTCTAAGTTTTTATTTAAGCATCAGAAATACAAAAAACATATCCTTCATCCAAATCAGGTCAAACAAAATACAAAATAATATCAAGATCTCTCAATTTAACATTTACCTTTAAATGTTTAGCAATAACATTTTGCAAATCTATCCAAAACAATTTTGTGCATATGCATATTAACAAATGTAACAAAGATTCCTTCTCATTATTACAAAATGCACATAAGTCATCTCGCTCGTGTTCAAATCTAGAAAGTGTCAATTTAACAGGATAAAATCTATGAACAATCGTAAATGATATTTCTCTAACTTGATTTGTTAGAGATCAACTGCACTCGTTTCTGAAGATAGTGAACACCTATAAGTCACTGCTCGCCTAAGCACGTAATGAGCTAAATTTAAGTCCTAAAGGGATCATTTTATTTCAAACAATTTCTAAATTACCTGTTTTAACAAATCACCTGCAATTAAAATCACAAATCGGTCCAGGTATTTGGAAATTGGGGATTTCTCAGAGGACAAGGGGATATAACCAGAAAGGAGCCCTTGTTGGAGAGATTCGTGTTATAAATCCTTTCCGAAACTGAGCATCGTTACCTTTTCCGCTCTCGTCCGGTTCAAGAGAACTTTTCTCACCAACAAGTGAACTGACGAGGAAGTTAGAGTAGTGTTCACCGTACGTTGAAAAACGAAATATTGCATCTTCTGCTGTGCCGCGGCTGTCTTACCAGTAGTGCAGGTACTGCCCGGGGCTGGCTTTCAGGTACCCTGACCACTGCCTGAAGTTTGGGGTGAAGGACTGTCCGGGGAGATCGGTCACTTCATCTGGATCATAGACGGACTGAGCGGAGCAGCACAAGGCTGTTAAAACGACCAAGCTGCGGAAGAGCATGTCTATATTGCACTCACACACAGAGAGAGAGAGAGCTGGAGTGGTTTGGGGGGAGTGAGAATCAAGTCTTTTCTTTGGATGCAGTTCAATACTAATCAAATTGGTTGACAGAAACTACCGGCTGTAGTCCTGGAGCTGAAGGGTCACATGACAACCCCCCCCCCCAGATCTGTCACGAGTATTGAATCACGTGACTCGGATGACGCAAAAACTACGCGACATATTACGGCTCCTTATACCGGAAGCGAAAGTGACCAAGTAATTTCACAAAAAAACGGGGTATGGTTTGATCTTCAACACACACTCGTACATTTTGCTGCAGCAAAGACGTTTCGTGGGTTTGTCAAACTTCTGAGCGTTTGTGTTGCTAAAAAACATCAAAGCCAGGGAAAGAGGTTGGAACACCGTCCGATTTTTTATTGGATTACACGTCATTGTTCCGTTTGACAACTTCGGTATAGAAACAGATAAACTTGTATTAAGTTTGGTTTCTAGACTTCCTTACAAGGCACACGTTTTGTGCCACACAAGGCGCAAATTGCAGTTTTTCAATCAGTGAAAGCCTCTTTGTGCTTTGCGAGCTCATACACCAATAGGGAACCCTGCCCCATCTCTCTTCCACAATCATAGGCATCACTTTGATTAGGGAACAGGGAATCTCTGATTTAATTATTAAGTGCACTTCGCACCCTTCCATTAAGCCCCGCGTGGGTTATCAGATAACAGGTTCGTGGAGAAGATAAGATCAATGACCTGAGCGACGACTCTTCGGGATCCACTGTCCCAAACCCACCAGCAGATAGAGGACCCCTGAGTGTAACGAGGCTAACGGACTGGGGAAAGGTAATGCAGCTGTGAGTCCCAGTCGTGTCTAACACTCGATCAGAACGCGTTAAAAAAAACGTTAAATGCTTTTTTGTCTTCGTAAATGAACCTTTTAACTTGATAGGAATGCATGGGAATGGTCACCATCGCCCTTGTCAGCCCGGGCACACACGCTAGCAGTTCTCAGGCAGGGGGTGAGGCACAGACCGCGATAAAACGTCACATCGTGATGCCTTTGCTCTTTGGTTCAATGGCTCGGATCACTCACTAACTCGAGAGAAAACGACCATAAACGAACAGGATTCACTTTTTTTCCACCCTCCGCACGTGACCTCCCCGCGAGGCCTGGTGCCGCGGAGAGACGCTCGCGATTTTCAAAAACCCACACCGGCGGCGCGTGCCGCGTTCCGCTCACACCCGAATAAAAGTGCCGAAAATTAAAATCCGCCGTGATGTTGCTAGATGACCTGATGTCGACCGTACCATTATCCCGTGTCTTGGGGGGGGGACCGGCTGAGGCGCCGCAGCCTCTTTCTAGCCGGAGCGAATTAAGGAGTGGGGAGAGGGGGGGTGGTCGGGTCTTAAAAAACATTTTTGGGGAGAGAATAAAAAATGTTTATGGGAAACCTATAATCTGGCGAGTTGTTTGCATGAATATTGATTTTTAACGTGCTGTATTTCGGCGCAGTTTTAATTATTTGTCTTCATTTGTGTAGTTTTTTTTGTTTCCGGAGTTGGTGTGTGTGGGGAGGGGGGAGGGGGGATGATGTTGCAGTGTCGCGAGCTCGATTTCAAGAAGATGGCGCTGTGAGCGCGCGCGAGATGTTGGTCGCCATTTTGTATTGAAAACCAAACCGAACTCGAGAGGGGGCAAACGTTATGTTATTATTTTTGTAACGACTCGGGGAGAGCAAAAATAAAGAAATGACCTTAGGAAAATAAGTGAGGTAAATATGATACCGTACCGGGGTGGGGAGGGGGATAATATACATTTTTGTATTTGTTTTTTTTTCAGTGAAACGTGTTAGAGCGGAACGTAGGTTTGTCAAACTTCCAGTGTTATCATCAAGGTTTTTAAACCGACACCAAAGTTATCATTTTCTCGCACAGAATTAATATATTTAGATATTTTGTCGTTTTGTACATTTGAAACGATCTTGGGTTGAATACCCGAGCGGCACTTGTAGTGCGATATATTTTTGTGCAAAACGAACGGGCTGAGTGAACTGTCTCATTTCACCATCCGTCTGCTAAAATCTTAGAGAAACAAAGGCTTTAAGAAGAGGTGGGGTCCTTTATAGTGTTATTTTCGCTATTTACATCTTTGACTTCACCAATGTCGCCTTTTTTAAAGACGAGGTTTCGAATTTTGTAAATCAACTTAGGTCGGTCCTTTTGTGAGAAATAAACCCCTTGGTTAGCTATCATAATACAAGATCATATTACTGACGGTTCGGAATATTCTTTCACATTTTAGAGCTGTTTAAACAGCTTGGAACATTAAAAAAATCGTTATGTTTTGAAACATTGGCGACTGATTTTAGAAGCAGATGTATTTTAGCGTTATTGGTTGTAGCTCAGTGCTTGAAGTTCAGTTTGCAGATAGAACTAAGTTGGCCTTTTTACGAAACGGCTTTTTAATGTGTGAGCTATTCACGGTTTAAAAGTTCCTTTAGATGTCTCCCTAACTGGTTAGAAAGAAAGCAGTCCTCATTTTCCTGTTAATATACATCCACGAGTACAGTATGTGCAAGGGAAATAGGAGTACTTTAACGCCGAGTAGCTACTTGTAGGAGCAAGTGTGGTACATATTCGAGGTAGCTGAAAAGCTAGGAACAAAAAAAGCAACTGAAGTTTAAACTTTGCACTACCAAGTAAGTAGTCTGGAGGGGGTTAGCTGACTTTTCCACTTCATTTATTTCTAACAGAATCAATCTCTTGTTTCCCTTTTTTGGGGTGGCGGTGCTCTTAATTGGGGAAATTAGTCATTGAGGTTGAGGCTAGAAAACACGGAGCCGGTATTTTCTTGAAAAGAGAAAGCGTTTTAGGTTGGAACTGTTCTAAAGTTTCTCTTTCAGAGTATTTTTTAGGAGAGGTTCATCTTGGTGCGTGTTAGGTTACTATTTTTTTTTTGACAACACCCTCCCTAACTAGCCGTGTTAAACTTCGGGGTTAGGGGCTGACCTCTTGCTAAAACGAAACCCTTTAGTGCTCGTAGTTCGTACCCTTAAACACAGTAACGGCAGCTGTTTTTAAATTGGGTTCGGTTGTTATTATTTTTGGCCACATTACTGGAATGTTGAGGAAAAATGTTTACACCTTTTCGGCTTGGAATGGTTTGTTGGGGGGTTAGGCCTCGGTTACTTATTGTAAGGTAATGTTTAACGGTCGTTGCATTTTACCAAGCAGTAGAAAAACGCATGAAAAGCACCTCATGTATTTTTGAATTCGTTAATGTTTTTGTATACGTGCTGCAGACTTGTTTTTTGTCTGTATGTGCCTTTACTGAGTCACTCGGGGCACAGGCTTTGAGGCCTAGTAAGTATCGAAAGGGTTTGGTCAGGTAGTGGATTGTGCCCAGGAGCAAAACTGGTTGTTTTCGGCATGTACAGTTAATGGTTTTTTTTTTCTTAACCCAGAAGTGTTGGTTCAGTCATTGAATCTCGTTCGTAGATATGTTCTCCATTTTAAACGAGTAAAAATACACGTGTAAAGTGTTAACTAACGCAAAAGATTCGCGTGGTGGTGTTTGCTCGATACATCCCGTTTTTCCTTCTGATAACATCAGTGAAAGCATATTCAGAAATGTTGCTCATCTTCACTTTTCTCTGCGGTGTTAGGTTAGAAAGCTAATGTACTTTATAGCTGTTAAGCCCTAGATTGGTAAGCACTTTGTACGAGACCTAATGTGGAAACGTCAAAAGTAAAACAATAAAACGTCGTGTATCTTTTAAATATAGTTTATGGTACGTGGGCTAAAGACGTGTTAACTGTTTTGTGAGAAAACCTTCGTCGTTGGAAACCGTTGCCAAAAAGTATGAGTTCCAGTCTCATTCCCATAGTTCTTATAGTACAGTTTTAATTAATGAATTGGCTGTAGAGTGACATTCTTATTAATGCCCTCACAAAGTGCAAGAGATTACAGGAAACCCTTGATACTTAAAAGCTAAATATAGAGCAGCCTTTCATGCATGTGGAGCTTGCTGGGTTACCTGGGCATTGTTCCCCTAAGATTCAGTCCAAGCCACCATCCAATGCTTGTGACTATTTTTATATTTTTAGTTGTATTCAGTAAGGAACTGATTTCACTGTCATCAAGCGTATTTTAGAATTGCGTGCGTAGAAAATTAAGCTTTTTCTCTGTTTTATCCTACAGATGCCAAACTTGATGTTGGACTGAGGGAATTTACTACACACATACAACCACTGAGAAAGAAACCTGTCTACAAATCAGATTTTACACCCTTGGTAAAAAAAAAAAATTAACCTATCTCTGAGGTGACAAAAGGGGAATAATGGTGATTTTGCGCCGGGCTCGGCCGCCTGCTTCCGCCCCGACCAGCAATGAATCTTGACTCGCTCTCGCTGGCCTTGTCTCAAATCAGCTACCTGGTGGACAATTTAACTAAGAAAAACTACAGAGCCAGCCAGCAGGAAATACAGCATGTGAGTACTGCCAGACTTCCTTTATCCCACCATTTTCTCAGCAATTTTAGTAATATCTGAGATTGCTATATGTTTGAGCACCTATGAAAAGTGGTTCTGGACTTTCTACTATATGAGGTAAGAGTGTTGGCATAACTGCACATTTCTGGGCTGCTCAGTCCTGGACTTGGGTTTGTGTGTCTCCATGATTTCTAGTTTTCAATGAAGCAGGAGTACAAGACGTGCTAGGAGATGCTGTTAGATTGGTCTAATAAAGCCATGTATTGTCTTTAGCTTATGATATGTTGGAATGAAAATGTCTTTCAAATTTTGTTTTAGAGGGAATAAATGTACCATGATATGCTTTTGCTTTCTCTGTTAGCCTTCTTATCCAAATTTCATGTTGAAAGCATAGATAGGTTACTTTTGAAAACAAGATGGCACTGCAGTCAAAATCCATCTTCCCTGCATGGTTATTGGGTTTCTCCATGTTGCTGAAGCATCATGGAAATGGAAATGTTGCCAGTTAATTTCATGTACCTTGATTCAACTGTACGTGTTCATCTTTGGGGGGAGGGGGAGGTCTTGTAAACACTGGATGTCACCTTATGTAGTAGCAAGGGAGGGTAGGATGGTATGCTCATTAGCTCGGTCCTTGAATATTGGAGGCAAAACCTGTTTAAATAGTTACAGTAGTTTAAGTACCGTTTAAACCAACAATTGGAATGCACACATGCTCTCATTGAGAGTGCAGATAGAAATCAAACGATTGAAGTCAATAGAAGAGCCTTATGTACCAAAAACGTTTCATTGTTGCCCCTAGGCTTTACTGTGGATGCAATGAGTTTTAACTTGAATTCCATTTACTGTTAGCATTGTGAATGTTACGTACTTAATATAATTTTTATCCATTTCTCTGTAATTGAGTAATCAATAACTCTTACTGAAATATTGGATTTAAGTAATTTCTGACTTTCTGGAAGTCACAATGAAACTATCTTGGAATTTCAAACTGAAGTGTTCCCTTTTGGAAAATTTAATTTATTGGCTTGAGACTAATCCACAATGTTCTGAATAAACTTGTGTAGTGGCCCTATACACTAACATTCCTTAGAATGCTTTTCTCAGTTTTGTTTATTAAATATTACAAGGTAGTCACAGTAGAAACATTCATTTTTACATTTAAGACAATAACTCCAGCCTTAGAATGCTTTTGATGCAGTACAGTTCCCATCTCCAGTTTTTCCTTTTATAGTTAAACTCTCCTTGTTTTCACATCACAGTTTTGTTTTGAGTTGGTAAACCTTTGTAGTTTATGAAAAGTGTCATGGTGTGTGACCTGAGATGTAGTTTGTTTGGTTTATTCCATTCCAAAGAGTCCCTTTTAGGAGTCCCTTTTCGCAATGCTTTAATACTGTGGCACTTAAACTATTTGCCCATGTGGTGTAGTGATGAGTGAAAATGACAAGTGTGAGGCTTTGGTCATAAGTAGTTAGCGTCACTAATTTCATATAACTCTTACTTTTGCACGGCCATATTTGTATTCGTTTTTTTTACCGTCTTAAATCTTTGTATACTAAATGTAGAGCTTTTCTTTTTGTAGTCTTAAAATTAGACTAGATTTCTGAAAACAAACTTTCACAAAGATTTGGAAAGGAAAAAAGTTATTGTCATAGCTGTTTTAAAAATGTTTTTTTTTGTGTGTGTAAGAGATGGAAAACTTTTTCCCATGGCTTTGAACCAGACCTTCATAGTAAAATGTTTAAAGCAGGGAGGCCAACATTTAGACAAGGGCCACAAGCATGTCTTTTTTTTTTTTGTACCCCTTAGTCATGCTTTGAGTTATTCTCAATGTCTCTAATGATCAGGGTATAAAATTGTAGACAGGTATTTCTTGAAGGGTTATTTCTTCTTGTAGACTCCACTAAAATAGTGTGCAACAAATTTGTGGATTATTTTTTTAGATTCCCATTTCCTCCTGTGCAAATTTGTATCTTTGTTGGTTCCAGTCATACCTCAAGATCAGCACCATGCATCAGTGAACTTTCTGTAAAACAAGGCAACTGAAACCATGAAGTTTATGAATTATAATGGACAGTTTTGTCTCTGTACTCACTGATAGTACCTTGATGTAACCTGTGTTTTGAAGAAATGTTTAAAAGTTTGGAAAGCTTAAACATGGTTTAGGTCTTTTGAAGTGACTGTGCATTGTAAATATTTTCTAGATTGTGAATCGACACGGCCCCGAGGCAGACAGGCATCTACTACGCTGTCTATTCTCGCATGTGGATTTCAGTGGCGATGGTAAAAGCAGTGGCAAAGATTTTCATCAGGTAATTGTTTTAGCACTTTGAATTCTTTTTCACCAGTAATCACAGTTAATGAAAATCAAATGCAGTTCTTTCTTCTGGAGTCCAGAGGAGGCAGGTATACATTCAACAGATATACAAAATCAACTGCTAATCTTCCTGTAACAAATGTCCATATCTACGTGGACATCTGTACTAATATGTAATTAAATGTTGTAAATCAAGGACAGAGTACAAAGTGGAGTTCAGAGTAGAAATCTCTAAATTATTTTTTCCTATTTGCCCAAGACACAGTTTCTGATCCAGGAGTGCGCGTCGCTCATCACCAAGCCGAACTTTATCTCGACGCTTTGCTACGCCATTGACAACCCCTTACACTATCAAAAGGTAGGGTTTCCATTACTTAGTGAAATTCTGTTTTACTAGGATTGAAAGGAACAGTGCTCACTGTTCTTTTTAAAACCTAGGAGTTGAAACAGTTTTATTTCTTTGTGAGATGGTTGAACAATTTTGCCTTTATTCTTCCAGAGTTTGAAGCCCTCACCACATTTGTTTACTCAGTTGAGTAAAGTCCTCAAACTAAGCAAGGTTCAGGAGGTAAGATACACGATTTCTAAAACTCTAAACAGATTTTATAGTACATAAATTTAAATTGAGTAGTTAGTGATAGTGAGATTTAAAAACTAATTTTGTCTGTCATAGGTTATTTTTGGCCTTGCTTTGCTGAACTCTTCCAGCTCAGATCTCCGAGGGTTTGGTAAGTAACCAATTTTACATTTTGTCTAATTTGATATTTTTATTGCTGCACCAATGTGCTAGTAGTATGCCAATCAGTTCTAGAAACGTTGGGTCATACAGCATGATGGGTACCCAAAACGTATAGCCAATGCAACCAAGGACTTCAGGAGAAAATGGGAAAATCTCACTGGCCAAATCAATCTCCAGATGCATCTTGCATTCTGGAGGAGAAATTGGAGTCGAGCACCCCAAGAACAGGCAATATTGCAGAGTGGTTGCGGGAAAGGCTTGGCAAACAGTCTCAAATGATTTTAGTTTGAGTTCAGCGCATCATTCGCTTGATGCAGTTATTTCAGTTTGACTGCAGATCTGAGGACTTATTGTGAGATTTAACACATCACAACATATTGAATTTAACGTATTGAATGTATTACAACACAGTCACTTGAAGTCATTAGGTTGACTACCATTATTGGTCTAATGATGAAATGTAGGTGGTGAGTTATCTAATTTGTATCATACATTTTAATCTAATCGTAATACAAATTTCTTGATTTATAAAGCAAAATGTCAAACTTTGTTTGAACTGAGTTCTTTTAAAGGGCAGTGGTCTATGCTGTCATAAATTGGTTCCGTTTGCAGTGAATTTACTTTTAATCCATGTCCTGCTTAGTAAGATTTTAATATTCCTATGCATTTTTGGCTTTTCTGGTGGCACTCGCATTTAAAAATGGTATGTTAAATTAAGCTTCCTGTTCAAGAAGCTAAATCTGAACACGTGGCAAGAAATGCTATAAAGCTTTTTAAAGGGGTGTTTAATTTTTTTGCAGCTGCCCAGTTTGTTAAACAGAAGCTCCCTGATCTTCTGCGCTCATACGTGGACGCAGACCTCGGGGGTAACCAAGAAGGTGGCTTCCAAGATATTGCAATAGAGGTCCTGCACCTGCTCCTCTCCCATCTCCTTTTTGGACAGAAGGGAGCCTCTGGGGTTGGACAGGAACAGATTGACGCCTTCCTTAAGACTCTGTGCAGAGGTAAATACTGGTGGCGTTGCATGTTTTTTGTGATCTGTTTCTAATATGTCCCCATGTCTTAAAGTTTTGATTTGTGAACTAATTCTTAAAACCAATTAACATGCATTTACTCCTGTTGAAGATTTTCCGCAGGAGCGCTGTCCTGTGGTGCTCGCACCACTTCTTTACCCTGAAAAACGGGACGTTCTGATGGACAGGATCCTACCAGATTCTGGAGGGATTGCAAAGACAATGATGGAGAGTTCGCTTGCAGAATTTATGCAAGAAGTTGGCTATGGCTTTTGTGCAAGGTGAGTTATAGAGGCGTTCACGTTAATCCATTTTCCTCACTTTTAATACTCCTTTTTGTTCTGAAGGTGTAGTCTGTATTGACCAATTTAAAAATCAGGCTTTATTCTAACAGCATTTTAAGTTTTGAGATCATTAGCTTTTTCAACACGCAAGTTTTACTTCAGTATTTTGTTTTTCAAAAACGTTTCTAGTCTTGAAGAATGCCGTGCTATAATCGTGCAGTATGGGGTCCGGGAGGTTACAGCCAGCCAGGTGGCCAGGGTCCTGGGGATGATGGCTCGCACACACACAGCATTATCTGACGGTATTCCTTTACAGGTAAGAAATTGGTGCTGGAGGATGTATATACATTGCTGGTAGAGTCTGTCTCGAGTGGAGTAAAAGTTTTAATTTTTGTCATTACATTTACCTACATATGATGTACTCTTTAACCTCCATTGTTTCCAAAGTTTATTTGGAGAGGATGAATAAAAATGGGAAGGTCAAGAATTCATTTTCATTTTTTTTTACTTTCAGTCTATATCTGCTCCTGGCAGTGGAATCTGGAGTGATGGCAAGGATAAGAGTGATGGGTCTCAGGTTCACACTTGGAATGTGGAAGTTTTAATCGATGTCGTCAAAGAAGTGGTAAGGTTTTCAGTTTATTTCCGCAGGTTTTAGACCTGTTGATTTACATGAATTCTGAAAGTAGATTTTTTTTTTTACAGAACCCCAATTTAAACTTCAAAGAAGTAACTTATGAGCTGGATCATCCGGGGTTCATTATTCGAGACAGTAAAGGTCTGCAGGTTGTCGTATATGGCATCCAGAGGGGCTTGGGAATGGAAGTGTTTCCTGTCGATCTTATCTATAGGCCTTGGAAACATGCAGAGGGCCAGGTAAAAAATGTAAACTTATGGTTTCCAATTTTTTGGTATGGTAATGTTGAGACTGTCTCTTAAATGCATTCTTGTTCTTTTCCCCAGTTATCATTTATTCAGCATTCCTTAATGAACCCGGATATCTTCTGTTTTGCTGATTACCCCTGTCACAATGTTGCTATTGACATACTGAAGGCTCCCCCTGAGGATGATAACCGTGAGATTGCAACTTGGTACGTGGTTTGTTAAAAAATTGTCCTTTAAGCTGGAGGTGGGCTATTGACACTTCTCATCAGGCTGAGCTTTAACTGTTTTTTTACTCTTTTCCATAAATGGCAAAATTCTTTTAAAGAGAAATCATTTCAACTTATTCCTATAACAGGAAAAGTCTGGACCTTGTTGAAAGCTTGCTACGTCTGTCAGAAGTGGGACAGTATGAGCAAGTGAAGCAGCTCTTCAACTTCCCCATCAAGCACTGCCCTGACATGCTGGTACTGGCCTTGCTACAGATCAGCACCTCCTGGCATACACTTCGCCATGAACTTATCTCCACCTTGATGCCAATCTTCTTGGGCAATCACCCCAACTCTGCCATTATTTTGCACTACGCATGGCACGGACAGGTAAACTTTGAATTCCATCTTCCCTTCAGGTTTTTGGAGGGTTTTTTTATTTCACTGTGTAGCAGCTCATTTTAAGAAATGAGTTGGGCAATTTAAAGTTTAAAGAGAGGTGGCAATTTTGCCTGTCAAGCTTATTTACTCATAGCCCATAGATCTAAAGATCTTGTGTAGTTGTTAACATAGCTTAGTTTTTGGAGGATGGAATCATCTGATAATATAGTGATCTATGTTTGAATGGATTTGATTTCAGGGACAATCCCCCTCCATCCGTCAGCTTATCATGCACTCGATGGCAGAGTGGTACATGAGAGGGGAGCAGTATGATCAGGCCAAACTCTCCCGCATTCTGGACGTGGCTCAGGACTTGAAGGTAGATTTCATTTTTCTTTTTATTGCCCGCATGTAATTACCCATTTTCTTGTCCTTTACAGTTTCTTTCAAGCCTGTTTGTGAAATAGGTTCCTTGTTGCATGTTTTGAGTATCGCGCCTGTGTTAAGTATGTTTATATTTCATATTCTTAAACATGATGCTAATTGTTTTGTATAAAATTACTGCAGGAAAATGGAACAGGCAAGAAGTGTTTAAAAGATTCAGTTATTCAAGTTCTCATTTATAAATTCATCTTTCTGTTTTAGTCTCTATCGATGCTGCTAAATGGTACTCCATTCGCCTTTGTTATTGACCTTGCTGCACTTGCCTCTCGCCGAGAATACCTCAAACTTGACAAATGGCTGACTGACAAAATAAGAGAGCATGGGGTAAGGCACACTGAGTACATTTCATTGTAACATTTAGTGTGATTGAAATTATGTACCAAACTATTTTAAAGTATTGAATGTGTAAATGTTTTGAGGTTTCTGAAACATGCAACCTTGAAGACTAACAAAGTAGTATTCTTTAATGTCAATCATAACCTTTTCAAGCAAATAGATTAAAAGATTATTCAACCCAATTGTTTAATCTTGTAAACTCTTTGTGCAGTGCTTAAATAACCTGTTATTTTTTTTTTTAAGGAACCTTTCATTCAGGCTTGTGTGACATTCTTAAAAAGGCGTTGCCCTTCTATTATGGGAGGCCTGGCTCCAGAGAAGGATCAACCTAAAAGTGCACAGCTCCCCCCTGAAACACTGGCTACCATGCTGGCATGTCTACAGTCCTGTGCAGGGTGAGTAATGTTATACAGACTGAAAAACATTACTGCGTGATTCTGTTGTCCTCCAGATTTAAGTACTTCTACACTCAAGGCATCTGTGCATAGCTGGAGCCCTTAATCAAGATAATTGCTCCTTTAAGTTAATTGTCTTATTCTAATATAATTTGTATCACAATTAATTAAATAATTGAAACTTTTAAAATGTAAAACTGCAGAATTAATCTTTAAGTTCACGAGGTCCAAGCACTGACTGTAACGAATAGTACTTTATAATATAGAACTTGCCTGAAATGTTAATTGTGGTTTACACCTCTAAACATGAGTTTCTAATTTTTCCTGTACTTATTAGGAGTGTGTCCCAGGAGTTGTCAGAGACCATCCTGACCATGGTAGCAAACTGTAGCAATGTCATGAACAAAGCTCGACAGCCACCACCGGGTGTAATGCCAAAGGGGCGTGCTCCCAGCACAAGCAGCTTGGATGCTATTTCCCCTGTACAGGTATCGGTCTCCATTTCCCCTCTTCAGGTGATGCTCCAAGATCAACTAAAACTATTTTTATGAAATCAGTCTGCACTTCTTACTAGATGTGACAAGTTGCTTTACTTAACCAGTTCTTGGCACATTCTTTTCCAGTTTTGCACTGAAGAGATGTCTCCAAATTATTGGAGAGGCAGTGTCAGTTTAGCAAACTTGCTCTATTGTTGTGGATAACCTAACCAAATTTCCACATTTTGAATGTAGAGATTTTTAGCACCTTGTGTAGGCTAGCGTGCAACATTAAAAAAAAAAAAATCAGTTTTGGGACTGTCAAAATATCTGATTAAATGGTCAGCACTGATGGACTTGTTATACCTGTTTGCTTTTGGTTTTAGGCTAATGTTTAGCAAATTTGATCTAATTGTTGCTTAGTGGGTGATCAGTAGTTTGCATAATTTTTTGAAGATGCACAATATTTAATATGGCTGAGTCTATTTTGGTTTATTTTCTAAATTAATAATGTAACTGTTTTTTTCTGTTATGATTGGGTAACTTTGAGTTTTGTAGTTCTGCTGTCTTGAGTGAGAAATGGGTATTATTCTAGATTGATCATTTGGGTTATGGTAGTTTTATTCTCTTAATTCCTTTTATTAATATACCCTGAATTGTGCACTGTATGAAGTATTAGGGGCTTTATGCTGTTAATACTGTATGTGTGGTTTTAGTATTTAATGTGACTTGAATTGTTTGAAACAAGTTTGTCTTTATTTGTAATTAGCTGGGCTTTATTACTGTTTGTTTTTAATTTATAGATTGACCCTCTGTCTGCCATGGGTTCACTGACTATAGGAGGATCTGCAGCATCTCACACACAGAGCATGCAAGGATTTCCAAATCTGAGTTCAGCTTTCAGCAACCCGCAGTCTCCAGCAAAGGCTTTTCCAGCCCTTACTAACCCAAGTCAGAGTACACCATTTGGTGGGATTGGTGGCCTTTCTTCACAGCTTCCAGGTGAGGGGATATAGTAAATGGACAAGATGTTTCTTCTCATTGAAAAGTTCTCTGCACTGTATTTAATCTTGGGCTATATTAAATAAGTTTTACAAGGCTTAAAATGTGCTTAATTCAAGTTCAGTCTCTTATAAATTGAGGTTGTGCTTAATGTGTGGTGTTGTCAAAGTAACTTTAAAAACACATACTCATTGGCATTGTAAATAGATGCTTTTTTATTGGTTTTAAATGTCTGAAACATTACTTTCAGGTTCTTTAGGTGCTGGCACTTTGACAGGCATAGGGACTGGAGGAATAGGATTGCCAGCAGTGAACAGTGATCCTTTTGGACAGAGGAAGATGAGTGCCTCGGGGTTAAACCCTCCCACCTTCCAGCAGAGTAAGATGAGGCCTTGTAAGTGGTTGTTGTGTGGCTGAGAGTGTGAAAGATGTCTCAACTGTATTTCCTCTAAAAAAAATATGCTGATGTACCGTTCCAGTTGATTTAATTTTTGAAAAGTGGGTTTTACCCACATTTTTTATTTTTCTTCCTTATCTGTCTGGATATATTGAAAGGAAGAAAAGCTGTTGCCTTGTTAAATCACACAACCTAAGAGGAAATACAGGTATGTTTTATTTTGTTCCATTTGATAGTGGATTTTCAGGGGCACTTTGCTTGAAAAGTTAGATCTAAGACTGATGTTAGACCTTCACAACACAAGAAATCCTTCCTTTTTCAGATTTCCCTTTACCACGTTTTAAGTATTTTAATTGCTCATCTTCAAAATGAGAGTCCTGCGATGACCAATCAATAACATTTTTCAAGTGCTTTGCCCTGTTAATTCATGTATGGATGCTTGTCTGCATGATTCTTAATGTGGCACACTGAGGTAGATGTCCCCGTCCCCCCTTTACCTTTTCAGTTACGCAGTACAAAATATTGTGCAGCATTATGTTTTTGAAAGTTAATTGTTTCAAATGGGTTTTTTTTCCCCGTCTCAGCTGACCTTTCTCAGGTGTGGCCTGAAGCAAACCAGCACTTTAGCAAAGAGATTGATGATGAGGCCAATAGTTACTTCCAGCGTATTTACAACCATCCACCACACCCTACTATGTCAGTTGATGAGGTGAGTTTTTAATACTTCAGGCAGTGTGAAGAACCTTGCGGTGATATTTGCAAAATGTAGAAGCGGTTTAAAATACACTGGTTAAAGGTAACTTTATTGAGAATGCAAAGTTCTGCTTTTGTCTTAGAGGATTGTAACAAAATTTAAAACTGCGATTCTTTGCTGTTTATTCGAAACCATTCTTCAGAATTTTGGAAAGTAGAATGTATTGATAAATTCAACACTGTTTCTTTATACAGGTGCTAGAGATGCTTCAGAGGTTTAAGGATTCCAATATTAAACGGGAACGTGAGGTGTTCAACTGTATGCTGCGAAACCTGTTTGAAGAATACCGCTTCTTCCCTCAGTACCCTGACAAGGAGTTGCACATAACAGCCTGCCTCTTTGGTGGAATCATTGAGAAAGGACTGGTCACCTATATGGCTCTGGGGCTGGCCTTGCGCTATGTTCTTGAAGCTTTAAGAAAATCTTTTGGATCTAAAATGTATTACTTTGGAATTGCTGCTCTCGACAGGTTTAAAAATAGGTGAGACTTTGGTTTACTGTTGAGTGTTTGAAAACTTAATTTAAGAATTTATCATTTGATAATCAATGTCAGAGTGAAACAATACAAGACGGAAAATAGCTTATTGCATACGTATTTATCCCCTTTGATTCAATATTTGGTGGAGGCACTCTTGGCAGAAATCTTCTTGGGTGACTTTATACCATATTTGGACACTGCACTTTTTGCCTGTTCTTTGCAAAATTGCAGCCACCACCATGCTTCACATTAGGTACAGTGTTCTCAGAATTGTTCACTGTTACGCTACTACCAGACAGTGCTTACCGCAGTACCCAAATGGGTCAGTTTTGGTTTCGCCAGACCATAGAATATTTAACTTGCTTTTGGAGTCTCCCACATGCCTTCTGGCTAAGTATCATTAAGTTATGAGTTTTGTCATTCTCCCGTGAAGCCCACATTTGTTTACCACCCAGGCATCATGCACAATTTCTCCCATCTCGGCAGTGGAAGACTGTAATTCTTTAGAGTTGTCACAAGCTTCTTGGTGAACTCCCTTTCTAATGCTCTTCTCACCTGGATACTCTGTTTTTGTGGACGCTGTGTTCTTCAGTTTCACAGTTGTGCCATATCTACCTTTTTTTTTTAAATGGACTTTACTGTGCTTTGGTGGTTATCCAATGTTTGGAAATTCTTATACCCTTCCTCATTGTTGCTTTTCAATAACCCTATCCCAGATTTACTTTGAAAACTCTTTGAACTTCATAATGTAACTTCTTCATTGGGAGCTGTACCAATCAACTGTGGAACCTCCCAGAGACAGTAAAACATGAAGTCCAAGGGGGTGAAGACCTCTGATTGTTGCTGTATAGGTTAATATAGTATATTAAGTCCTAATTATATTTAACTTTCTGCATTTAGACTGAAGGACTATCCCCAGTATTGTCAGCACTTGGCTTCCATTGCTCACTTTCTGCAGTTCCCTCATCATTTACAGGAGGTAAGTGGACTTCAGTTCTAAATATTTTTTTCTAAGATTGTTGGCTGTGCTTTTCAAAACCATTAAAGTTTCACAGATTCTAATGGAAGATTTCAGAAGGTTTTAAATTGTATTGAAAGCATTTTGCAGTTTCTGCGAGAAGCAATTCAGTGTTGGTATTACTTCTGAATTAATTTTTTCTGTTTTCCATGTCCTGTGTGCAGTATATAGAGTACGGGCAACAGTCGCGAGACCCTCCTGTGAAGATGCAGGGATCTATCACCACACCAGGCAGCCTTGCTCTTGCACAAGCTCAGGCCCAAGCACAGGTTCCCCCAAAAGCTCCCATCCCAGGACAGGTTAGCACTATGGTAACTACATCTACCACAACCACTGTTGCCAAAACCACTACCATTACCCGCCCCACTGGAGTCAGCTTCAAGAAGGATGTGCCAGTGAGTATCGGTAACGCACGGGAAATTGCGGTATGTGTGTGTCTGTGCTAATTAACTTTTTACTTTAGTTTGCATGATTAACCCCCTTCTCCTTAATCTTGTATATTAATCGGGGAAATGATACTTTTGTGCATTAAAAGTATAATGCTTTCAGTATTGTATCTTATGATTAAGTGCATGGACATAAAGGTGTACCCCTTAATCATAGCTTTTTAAAATACAACGATCCACTTCTGAACTTAACTAATTTTGCTGTCGTTTTTAGCCCTCTATAAACACAACCAATATTGACACACTGTTGGTGGCAACAGACCAAACAGAGAGGATAGTGGAACCTCCTGAAAATGTCCAAGAGAAGATCGCTTTCATCTTTAACAATCTGTCACAGTCCAATATGACCCAGAAGGTGAGCTTTAAATAAATGTAGTGTATTGGATTTTTTATGGAAGTGATATTTACTGTAAAATTATAAAAATATATTTTGTCAAGTTTAGACCATATTGCACATACCATTACTATCGCAAGTATGGTTCTTAATTTTTAGTGTTATGCTTAGGTAAATTTGTATTTGTTGGTGGTGCCAAAATTAGTCTTAATGACTAAAATTTGCTGTTTTTTTTTTCAGGTTGAAGAGCTGAAAGAGACTGTAAAAGAAGAGTTTATGCCTTGGGTGTCGCAGTACCTTGTAATGAAGAGAGTCAGTATAGAGCCTAATTTCCATAGTCTTTACTCCAATTTCCTGGATACACTAAAAAACCCTGAATTTGTGAAAATGGTCCTGAATGAGACATACAGAAACATTAAGGTAGGTACTTTTCTGAAGGTCTAAAGGCCTTTTGTAGAGCTTCATTGACTTATTTTGAAAACCTCTGTTTGGTCATGTAGCATTAATTACTTGTTTTTAAGATAAGTATTTTTTTCCTAATTATGTTTAAGCCCTCTTAACACTTGTCAACAGGTGCTGCTGACTTCAGATAAGGCAGCAGCAAACTTCTCTGATAGATCCCTTTTGAAGAATCTGGGACACTGGCTTGGCATGATCACTCTGGCAAAAAACAAGCCCATCCTGTATACAGTGAGTACCGGCATAATTTTAAAAACAAAGCTGTATGACTTCACAGCAATAGTTGGCATGTTCCTGTTCATGGGTAGTGAAAATAATTGATTCATGTTTTAGATTACTGAGTCAGGTTACATTAATATGATTTATGGTTTCATAGATCGAACATTGTCACCGATCTATTTTTTTTGTTCTCTTTGTTTTAGGATTTGGAATTAAAATCCTTGTTGCTGGAAGCCTATGTTAAGGGACAACAAGAGCTTCTGTATGTGGTCCCATTTGTTGCCAAAGTCTTGGAATCCAGTGTTAGGAGCATGGTATGTTTTTTTTATTCTCTTGACATTTGTAGTGTGGATTTTCTGCTGTATGGTATCACTCATGGTTCTGATTTAATTTGTTCACTTTTAGATTTTCAGACCACAGAACCCTTGGACAATGGCCATCATGAATGTATTGGCAGAACTTCATCAGGAGCATGATTTGAAGGTCAGGTCCCAAACATGGTTCCATTAGTTTAATGCAATAATCCTGAAGAAGATATAATGGTGTTTTAAAAGTAGTGAGCATTTTTGCTTCTGTTCCACAGCGGCACTACTTCAGAATAAATCAGTTCTGAACTGGTGTTTCATAACTTTTTAAGCTATTTAAGTTGGCAACTCAAAATAGTTTTTGATGTCTCCATGCTTATTTTTGCAGCTTAACTTGAAGTTTGAGATTGAGGTGCTGTGCAAGAATCTGTCTCTGGACATCAATGACCTAAAGCCTGGAAACCTATTGAAGGACAAAGAAAAACTGAAGAACCTAGAAGAGCAGCTATCTGCACCAAAGAAAGAAGCCAAACCACCCGAGGAAATGCTGCCTATTGTTACAACTGGTATGTGTCTTTCTAAATTCCTTGTGTCTGTGGGTGAGGGGAGAGAAAGGGGTGCTTACCCTTTATATTTTCATAAGTGGTTATGTAATGTTTTAAATGCTTATAGTAAGAACTGCACATTGCTAAACAAGCCCCACTTAAGGACTCTTTGCACTGGTGAAAGATAAGGTTGGCTCCATATTTCAGTGAGGCTACCTCACAGGCTTATTTTTAGTAGGAATTTTTTACTTTACTGTAGTGTCAAACAAAAGGTCCAGTTTTCCTGTGTAGGGAATTGGAAACTAGGCTGAAGCTTTTTACAACTGACTTTTTAAAAATGTTTTAAGCAGTTTTGTATTGTTTAATGGCTTATTAGTGTTGTGTGTTTTTGTTTTGGTACATTGAGCCTCTGTGCTCGGACTCCTGTTCCTTGTTTTTAATCATGATAGCGTTTTTAACCAACAGGAGACTTTCTCCCCTTTGCAGCTGCTCCATCTACTCCTGCCACAACAACAACCTGCACAGCTACTGGTCCACCCACACCTCAGTTCAGTTATCATGACATTAATGTCTATGCTCTGGCAGGATTAGCTCCTCACATTAATTATCCTAATGTAAGTATTTTTTTAAGATTCATAAATCTTCCTAAGTTTCATGTATTGTTTCATGCACTGTACCAGAGTTATTGGTTTTATTTTTAAATGCTTTGCTCTTTGTTAAAGAGATTTCTTAGGTCATTGATTTTTTTTTTTATTATTTAATGGTCATTGAAGCCTGTTACGTACCTGTTGTATTTGTAAAGTGTCCTTCATTAAATGTTGTTACTTGGTGTTTGTTGATGAGAAATAATCCTTTGTCAGGATTACTTTGCATGTGTTGTGTCCCTGTCTTTTCAGATCCCATTGCTGCAGGCCCACCCCCAGCTGAAACAGTGTGTGAGGCAGGCAATAGAAAGGGCTGTGCAGGAACTTGTCCATCCTGTAGTTGACAGATCCATCAAGATTGCCATGACAACATGTGAACAGATTGTCAGGAAGGACTTTGCCTTGGACTCGGAGGAGTCCCGCATGCGTGTAGCTGCCCACCACATGATGAGAAACCTGACAGCAGGCATGGCCATGATCACCTGCAGGGAGCCTCTGCTGATGAGCATTGCCACCAACTTGAAGAACAGTTTTACAGCTGCCCTCAGGGTAAAGAACTGTTGCAATAATACATACTGTATGCAATTGAATCTGTGTACCTTTTAGGACGTTTTCTGTACCAGTGGTTATAAGCTGTTAAAGTTTAAACTTTTAATGCTTTTGCAATGATCTTTACCACTCCAATGCTAAATGCTCTGTAGAGCATTTATTATAGACCAATGGAATATGCAAGTTGATGGCCAAGATGTTGATGTTATAACAATATAATAGATTTAAGTTTAGGTTTTTTTCTTCCTCAATTTGCATTTCTTTGTATTGTGCACAGAAGGGGTTAGAGGCGAAATAAGGGTTTTGTTATATGAAATAAAGATATGAGTTTGGTTTTTAGGCTCCAACACCACAGCAGAGGGAAATGATGGAACAAGCAGCTGCACAGATAGCCCAAGACAACTGTGAACTGGCATGCTGCTTCATACAGAAAACCGCAGTTGAGAAAGCAGGTCCAGAGATGGACAAGAGGCTGGCCACTGTAAGTATTCTGTCTGTTTTACCGATAGATTAAGAACGTATAGCATAACAATTATAATTGGGTTTTTTTACCTTCGTTTAAACAGGAGTTTGAACTGCGGAAGCATGCCAGACAAGAGGGACGTCGCTACTGTGACCCAGTTGTACTGACATACCAGGCAGAAAGGATGCCAGAACAAATCCGGCTGAAGGTGTTAATTGAATGTGTACTTAATTGAGAATTCCTGGAGATACTGACAAATCACATTTCTCTATTTTAGGATTGTTTTAAATGGAAATGGTAAAATAGCATACTTGTGTAATGCTTGTATCATGCTCGAGTTGCTTTCCAGAGAAGCACTTATCTTTTAATACTGATATTCAGATGTTTTTTTATAAAGCATTTTATGCCAATTATTACCTATGACCAGTGGGTGCTGGCCTCCATGCCTCTCTTCTGCATCTTATACCAGTTATTTTGTTATCTTTGCCACTTTGAATTGTAGCTGTCTTTCCTACATTGTAGGTTGAAAGTACAAGGTAGAAAGTCAAAGGCATTGTGTTGATGCAAACAAGCTGCGTATTATTTAGATGTTTCTAGTTATTAAAACGAGCAGAGTACCAAAGACCTTTCTTTTCTTTTTCCTGGTAGGTTGGAGGTGTGGACCCTAAACAGCTGGCTGTTTACGAGGAGTTTGCCCGCAACGTTCCTGGATTTCTTCCCAGCAATGACTTGTCTCAACCCACTGGTTTCCTTGCTCAACCCATGAAGGTATTGTTTTAAGTGTTCTGTAAACTGTCCAAAAAATGTAAGAGTTTCGTCATCCATATGACACCGATCAAAATTGGTTTTTTTTTCTGCATTTGTTCATGAATAAAGCTGTTTTCTTTTCACTATCTTCATATTCAGGCAAATAAATGCAAATGTTAAACCCTTTAAAAGCATACTGAATTTCTTTATTTTTTTATTGACATTTCAGCAGCAAGCCTGGGCAGCTGATGATGTCGCCCAGATCTATGACAAATGTATCGCTGACCTTGAGCAGCACTTGCATGCGATCCCCCCTGCCTTGGCAATGAACCCACAGACACAGGCTCTGCGAAGCCTTCTGGAGTCCGTGGTGGTGGCCCGAAACTCGAGAGATGCCATTGCCGCGCTTGGCTTACTGCAGAAGGTGAGAACTTTCTCGGAGAGAAAGGAGATTGATGTGCTTAAGTCTTGGATGGGATTTATGTCCTTTGCAGATGACGGGCGTTCAGGTTTTGTGTGGGTGAGTTTTAAAGTTAGAGTAATGGTTTCTACTCCCCCCGTTCAGGCTGTGGAAGGTTTGCTTGATGCCACAAGTGGTGCCGATGCAGATCTCCTGCTCCGTTACCGTGAATGCCACCTCCTGGTCCTCAAGGCTCTCCAGGATGGCCGAGCTTACGGTCCGCAGTGGTGCAACAAGCAGATCACCAGGTCAGTGCTTTTATTGTACTTAAGGCCTTTTTATTCTTAAAATAGTTCCTAAAAGACAAAATATTAAGGTTAGTAATGAGGAAAGATGACCATTCTTAAGCATATTTGAAAATGATAATTTTAGTATGGTAAATCCAGTTTCTCAATCTTCTCTTCCACAGTACAATGTAAAAATATTGTTGCAAACTGCCCCCTCCTCGTGTACACGTTACTGGACCAAGAACAGTATTGTAAACTCATTTTGGTGTTTAATCTGGGTTTTTCTTGAAGTGCCGTCACCTCATCCGGGCAAGAGTTGACCATCATGAAACACGGAGCTTGTTTTTCTGTCAAATATGAAAGGCCCGGCTTCCTACATGTGATTCCCACTTGTGCATCCAGGGCCATTGTGTGGCCTCTGTGTTTGCGTAAACACCAAAAGAGGAAGCACAATGCTTCTCTCCACAAAACTAATATACCACATATGTAATTGAATTTTTCTCGTACTGTTTCCAGGATCCCATGGCACACCACTATAAAGGGCTTGTATAAAGAGACTTCTGTTTTGTTAGACTGCACAGCACTATTATTTAAGCCTCTAAAGTCTTCTGTGACATGTGGGGTTACGCTATAGTGCAATAGAAAGTCTCACTTCTTAAAATGTACCACAACTCTTATCATAGTTGTGATTTTATAGAGTTGAGAACATCTTTCTTGTTCCCAGTTGCATTTTGCTCTATGTGCGTCTTTTAAACATTTCTTCCTCCTTTATGTAATCGTTCCTTCACCCATTAACTTATCTAAACTTTTTTCCCCCAGTACCTTGGCATGTCACAAGTCATCTTAGATGTTTGGGGGGGGGGGAACTTTCACATTTAGTGTGATGTGTATATACTTTTCATGATGTTTCGGCTAGGTGTCTGATTGAATGCCGTGACGAGTACAAGTACAATGTAGAAGCTGTGGAGCTCCTGATAAGAAATCACTTGGTCAACATGCAGCAGTATGACCTGCATCTAGCACAGGTATGAAAATTTTCATCTTCTCCAGAGAGACAAAACTGTTACAGACAGCAGCGTAAAGCTCCTTCTTTTGTCATTTTTAGTCGATGGAGAACGGCTTGCATTACATGGCCGTGGCCTTTGCGATGCAGCTGGTGAAGTTGCTGCTGGTGGATGAGCGCAGTGTGAGCCACATCACAGAAGCAGACCTGTTCCACACCATTGAGACCCTCATGAGAACCAGTGCCCACTCGAGGGCAAATGCCCCGGAGGGGTGAGTATATGACCTGGAAAAGTCTTGATTGCTGTAAAGCCAAGTCGGATGGAAAATGTGAATTCTTTTCTTTTATTACAAATTTGAGAACTGTTTCCCGTCATTTAGGCTTCTACCAGCAGTTATAAAATTACTCATTTTCTCCTACATTGTGTTTAAATTCTGCAGTTTACCACAACTGATGGAAGTTGTCCGATCAAACTACGAAGCAATGATAGACCGAGCTCATGGAGGCCCCAACTTTATGATGCACTCTGGAATATCGCAGGCCTCCGAGTATGATGACCCTCCTGGCCTGAGGGAGAAGGCAGAATACCTGCTGAGGGAATGGGTCAATCTTTACCACTCAGCGGCTGCTGGCCGGGACAGCACCAAGGCCTTTTCTGCTTTTGTAGGACAAGTAATTGTTTTGTTTTTTTTTTGGTTTCTGTAGCGATGGGGAGAGGATGAACAGAATCGTTTAAAGATTTTACATTTAATCTGTTTGTTAAGTATGAAAGAAGCTGTAGCTAAACTTCCCTTTTATTCTGACCAGATGCACCAACAGGGGATCCTGAAGACTGATGACCTGATAACCCGATTTTTCCGTCTGTGCACAGAGATGTGTGTGGAGATCAGTTACCGTGCACAAGCCGAGCAGCAACACAACCCAGCTGCTAGTGCTGCAATCATTCGTGCCAAGTGTTATCACAACCTTGATGCTTTTGTCAGGCTCATTGCACTTCTTGTTAAACATTCTGGGGAGGCTACCAACACAGTCACCAAGATTAACTTACTGAACAAGGTGGGAATTAAATATATTTCACTTGCTCCTTGTCTGATTTAGCAAATGCTAGGGACATGCATGGCTGTTTTTCCTCTAAAACATCCAGTTATGTGTAGATGGGGGCTTAATTTGAATAGGAAGTAAATTCTCTTTTTACTTGGTTAATTGTTCAATTTAAATTCAAGCTGTAAAGGTATATTTGTCATCTTGCTTAAGAAGGAGTAATGACCGGCTTTCCCTCTCAGGTTCTTGGTATTGTGGTTGGAGTCCTCATTCAGGACCATGATGTCCGTCAGACTGAGTTTCAGCAGTTACCTTACCACCGCATCTTCATCATGTTGCTGTTGGAATTGAATGCACCAGAACACGTGTTGGAAACCATTAACTTCCAGACATTAACTGCTTTCTGGTATGTCCACCTTATTCCGGTAGATAATTTAGTTTTAAGCTTGCTTAATATTCTTTGAAAGTGCTTTTCTCTACTTTCAGAACGATTACATTCTTTTTTTGTATATTTACAGCAACACGTTCCATATTCTGAGGCCCACCAAAGCTCCTGGGTTTGTCTATGCTTGGCTAGAACTTATATCTCACCGCATATTCATTGCAAGGATGTTGGCGCACACACCACAACAGAAGGCAAGAGTACAGCCCAACTTCTTAACTATATAGTATAATGATTGAGCTTTAGGTTTTTATTATGCAGTAATTTTCCTTAATTTCTTTCCTTTTCTAGGGTTGGCCAATGTATGCCCAGTTGCTCATCGACCTGTTCAAGTATCTGGCACCCTTTTTAAGGAATGTTGAGCTCAACAAGCCTATGCAAATTCTTTACAAGGTACTTCAATGGAGTAGGATGTTAAAGGTGTTAATTTCTCATTTGTAATGTTTGGCTTCTTACATTTTTATTAATCAACCAAACAGCTCTGGATTTTTCTTGTACCTGATCCATTATCCATATTGGCACCGACTGTATAAATTAAACTCCATGGAATCTTTTCCATGGTGAAAAGCCCTACCTTTTGCCTTTGTTTTTAGGAGAAACTCTGCTTTTGTGGCCTTTAGTCAGACAAAGTGCTTTCTGATGATGTTCCTTTTTTGTTTGATTTTATGTTCAATAATTTGCAGGATTCTTTTGCTGTTTTATTTCTAGGGTACTCTGCGTGTGCTGCTGGTGCTCCTTCATGATTTTCCAGAGTTTCTCTGTGATTATCATTATGGTTTCTGTGATGTTATCCCACCCAACTGCATCCAGTTACGGAACTTGATCCTCAGTGCTTTCCCTCGCAACATGAGGCTTCCTGACCCATTTACTCCGAATCTGAAGGTATCCTTTCTTTACATTTGCATGATATAAATGCAGTTCTTAATTTCTGGTGTGTAATGTGTACTGTTTGTATTCCTCCAAGGTTGATATGCTCAGTGAGATTAATATTGCTCCCCGTATTCTCACTAACTTCACTGGAGTGATGCCATCTCAGTTCAAGAAGGATTTGGACTCCTACCTGAAGACTCGCTCCCCTGTCACTTTTTTGTCAGAGCTCCGCAGCAACCTGCAGGTAGGGGGCGCTATCTTGGGTTTCCTGGAAACATTTTCAGCACAGTAACATCTTTAGACAAGGGTAACAATTTTAACTAGTTTGGAGAAACTATTTTTAAAGAACTTATCTGGCTGAATGAGAGCAGATTAAATCTAAGCAGGGCAAGTGAGAAGTTTTGAGAGAGGAAAACCCTCTTTCTGAAGCCCATGTTGGTGATTTGGGAAATTTTTAATGTATTCTGAGTCAGGCTGGTAAACTGATGTTAGTTGATAAGCCATTTGTAGCAAAGTTTTATATAGGAATGTTAATATCAATATTTCTGATTTTAGAAAATAAATTAATGGTTGGTACTAGAATTTTTTTAATCCAATCTACACTTTAGAAGTAAAAAAGCTGTCCAGGATTAGCTGATTTTTGCATAAAATGATTTTATCCTGATTTTCCCCCCCTCTTTCAGGTCTCAAATGAGCCAGGTAATCGGTACAACATTCAGCTTATAAATGCATTGGTGCTGTATGTGGGAACTCAAGCGATCGCTCACATTCACAACAAAGGTAGCACACCATCTATGAGCACCATCACCCACTCGGCCCATATGGACATCTTCCAAAACTTGGCTGTGGACCTGGACACTGAGGGTAAGTTATTGTGAGGAGAAAATACTATGAAGTTTATAGCACGGCACAAGCCAGAGATTTCTGGGAGGTTGTTCAAGATGTCGTTATCACAAAGGTGGAATTTCTTTTGGAATACTTTCCCTTCATGTCTTAAATTTGCTTTAAATTAAACACATTTTGAGCATGTTCAAGCTTAAATAAGAAGCTAATGTTCTACTGGAATCAGATTGGCCATACTCCCTGTTCATCCATGTTGTAACTGCTTTTCCAGTTCAGGGTGGCAGGATAGGCTGCAGCTCCCCTGGCAGGCAAGAGGTGTAAGGCGGGGTACACCTTGGACAGGGCGCCAGGCCATGGCAGATGCGCACACACCTAGGGCCAATTTTCAGAAGCCAATTAACATATCAGTAGGTGTTTGGACTGTGAGTAACCCACAGCACCTGTAGGAAACCCATGCAAACATGGGGAAACCATACAAGCTCCATGCACATAGCACCCTGGGTCCATAATTGAACCCAGGACTTCCAGCTCTGGGAGGCAGTAATACTAATAAATGTGCCACCTGCCATAATCACTAAATGTCTTAAAATATTTTAATTAATTTTAAAGCTAAGGGTGTACATAAGGTTAAAGTTATTTAATTTTCTTACTTCTCTTTAGTTTCTATGTACACTTTTTAGGAAGGAAAACAGCACATGAGAATGAAGTGTTCAAGTAGGAGCAGTTCATAGCTGTGTGTTCCTGCTTTTTCATTGCCCAGAGACAGCTTGTCGCTCTTTCAATGATTTGAAATACAATTGTACACATCAGAACTTCAGCTATGTAAGGAACCTATATATACTGATTATTAATAGAAGTGCCTTTTTACATGTATGCAGAAGATGATTTTAAAATGCATTTGTAATCAATTTCTTTAGGTTGTAACAGTACTTTTTTTTTTTGTACAAGGGGATGGAAATGGTACAGCATTGATTCAGCATTGTACCCATTAGCATTTCTAGGCTGTAATAAAATGTATCCATGTTATCCACACTGTACTCCTGTTAAGTGGATCTGTTTTTCTCCCATCTAGGACGGTACCTGTTCCTCAATGCGATTGCCAATCAGTTGCGGTATCCTAACAGCCACACTCACTACTTCAGCTGCACCATGCTTTACCTGTTTGCAGAAGCGAACACTGAAGCAATACAGGAGCAGATTACCAGGTAATATTTTTATAATTTATATATTCACTGTTTCATCTGAGTTGTACTTGTGGGTGGAGGAGGTACTGAATGTTTTTAATTTGTTTAGGGTTCTGCTGGAGAGGTTGATTGTGAACAGGCCACACCCATGGGGTCTGCTTATAACTTTCATCGAACTCATCAAAAATCCAGCCTTCAAGTTCTGGAACCATGATTTTGTCCACTGTGCACCAGAGATCGAAAAGTAAGTTTTTATATTCTGTTGCTTTGTATTTAAGAGAATTTCAGAACTAATCTTAGAGTCCTAGGGAAAGCAAAACAGCTGCAAGGACCTAAAGACCACCAGATGGAGTACTGGAATCTTAAAAATTTAAAAGATTTTAAATCCACTGTCTGCATAATTTGTGTAATTCGTTGATGTACATAAGTGTGGAATAATTGGTGATCTATGATGGTGAGAAAATCAAGTCATAGCTAAGGTTATACTTTTTTTTTTAACTGAACAGGTTGTTCCAGTCGGTGGCTCAGTGTTGTATGGGGCAGAAGCAAGCACAGCAAGTGATGGAAGGCACTGGTGCCAGTTAGGCAGGCAGGAATTGCACCAACAACCTGGGACACCTCCCAAAGCTTTTCACTCTCAACCTGAAAATGACAACGGGCAGCACAGGACTGGACACAGGACATCGGACAGACTCTATGCTATTGGTTCTTGTGGACTTCTTGATTTTTGGCCAAAAAAAAAACTTTGGATAAGAATCTATGTAAACTATGAAAAGGATGTGTAAGACATGCTGTGAATATAATTTTGAACTTTAATGTAAATAAAAAGGGAGATGCGTCTTTCAAAATGACTAGAGCGCAGAAAGTGTAAAATTGATGTCTGGTACCAGTACCATTTAAAAATAAACAAAAGGCAGCTGCTGAAACAAAGTTCTAATCCAGCCTTTTCACCCCAGGATCAGCCTCCTGTCTTTCCTCATACTTTTGAAGAGGGTTGTAACCCATGATTTTTTTTTTGTTGTTGTTGAGGCTTAGTGGAATGGCAAAATAATTGGCCCAACTTTTTTTATCTTAATTTTGGGGGGAGGTGTATAAAAGGGGGGACAGGGAAGCAGCCCGTTTGATTCCTAAGGTTTAGTCCAGACTTATTCCGAGGGGATGGGTTGTGTAATTTTAAACATGGATTTAAAGGTTCTCCCTAAAGCTTGTACAATTGTGGAATACAGAAATTTCAGACTGGTAAAGAATCTGTTAAGTTTGTATAAAGATCAAAAACAAAACAAAAAAGGACCAATACAGCCCATTTTGTAAGGATTTTGAATGTTTTGTAAATGTATTGGTCCAGGTGTTGTATTTTGTAGTACTTTATAGTTTTGCCTTTAGTTCTGCCACTTATTTCCTGTATGTATGCATACTGTAGTTACTGCATTAAAAATCATAAACAGCAGTACTTGTTTATCTTTTGTGAAGTGATTTATTCAGCTTTAATATTACAAAAGTAAACTTCAACCTCTTAGGAAAACATCTGTTATGCATCAGTAATTTATTGGGGAAACTAAGGTTATGATCTGCTGTAGGAGATGGGCAAATGAAAACCGCTATCCATTTTCTAACCACTTCTTCCAATTCAGGTTTTCATGGGAGCTGGAGTCTGGCCTTGTAAGTAATGGGTGCAAGGCAGGACACTGCTAGTCCATCACAGGGTGCATATACACACACACACCTAATCCCAAACTTTTCTAGAAGCCAGTTAATGTACTGGTATGTTTTTGGGCTGTAGGAAGAAATGGAGCAGTCAGAGGAACCCACACAAATATGAGAACATGAACTCCACACAGACTGCAGTCCAGGTCCAAAATTGAACCCAGTGAGGCAGCAATGCTAATCCCTGCACCTCCATGCTGCCCAGTCCTGCATTTATGCTCCTGAAATAATCCAGGCCTGATGCACTTGTACTGCTTAATAAGAACTCCTAGAGGTTTTTCTGCAGTGGGGGGAAAAATGTGTATAGTCTCAAGGTAATTTTTTCCCAATTCCTACCCAGAATGTTGGTAGTTCATGGTAGGTTACAGTGCGTCAGCTCAAGGAGCTGGTGTAAGATCATCTTTTGCCCATACCGCACCTGAAGGGCAACTTTTTCCCTGCTGCTCAAGCAACTGTATGACTCCTGATTGTCCAAAAGCTCCTTGTCAGATTTCAAATCCGCACTGTATCCTGTAAGGGTAAGCAAAGCACTATCATGGAGTAGTTGTTTCCAGGCTGGGTTCAGGTCAGGGATTCCCTCATTGGACAAAGCAAAAACCATCTTTTCCTCCTCATCCTCTTCTGCTTCCTCCCAGCCCTCATTTTCCTTAAATTCTTCAAACTCTTCTGGAGCCATACACAAGACCTGGAAAAACACAGGAGCAGGTTTGTGCATTGGCAGTAAGGTAACGTGGTGTTTTACATACTTTTTCCTAAGATGTGACCTCATGGTAATGTAATTAGCAGTAGTACTTTTGCACTTTATGTAATGTGGTAGAGCTTGGAAGTGTGTGACATAGGTTTTTATAAAATTCTTAATTTTACTTGATACAGGAGTACAATAACAGAAAGCTGTGTTTGAGGAGAACTTAAAACCATCTACCGCGGACAGAATGTTGTTCTTTCCTAACTGCTTACCTTCAGTGTTGTGTACAGTTCCTCGTCGGTCAGTGAACCAGACTGGCCGAAGATAAACACACCCTCATCTCCCACCATCTCCAGCTGGCACAGCAGCCTCCACTTCTCTTCCACCAGTTCACGCTCCGAGTTGGCCTGAGCAGCTACACGGAAGGAAAGTCATGACTGTTCATCAAACCACTGCTCGCCTTGAGCTATCTTACACATTTTAACATGCCTCCATTGTTGCCACCTTTTAACCCAACCACAGCAGGGCCTGATCAGGATGGAGAGGGGAGACCTTAAGTGAAAACTGGGTTACCCCTACAAGTGGCACTCTTTGCTCTAAACCAGGGCATGACAGGTCCCAAACTACTTATCTATTAAAGATCTCATGGCATGAAAATTTGGAGCGTTTTCTTCATGTCCTGTCTTAATACCATTCTGATCTTATATAAGCTGTCTGCCCTGAACTCTGATCTACTGTGTATGGGGCTGCTAATGCACAATATCTGCTTTTCATCATATAAGTGGGATTCTTGAGGTGGAAAAGCGCTGTGTAAACACTAAAACTGAATCCGTTTCCTGATCATTCTGCATCAAGTACCAGTTTACCTTTTAAATTGTGCGGATATCTGCATAACTAACAGGTTCAGGGAGGCTTGCTCACCTTGCAAGGCGGCCTTGTAAATGGTGACCATCTGGATGTCGGCAGTGTCATCGGTGTTATTAGGGTACGGCTCTACAAAGCCATACATGTGGAGGAGCTGCCAGTTGGCCATTTGGCCGTAGGTGTTGAAGACCTCCTCTCCTTTCTTGATGTGACGGACAGACACCATTTTCAAATGCTCCTGAAACGACATTGTGCAAGCTCACTGCTTTAATATCACCAATGTGTGAGCAATGTCATAGCCAACATTAGCTTGTGTGTTCACAAGTGTCCACTTTCATCTGGAACGCAGGGCTCTGTGTGGATGCGAGGGCCACTCACGGGTGAGTATTCAAGGTTGGCATTGTGATTGGAGACATGGTTCAGTATGTCAGCCATGGGCACCATCATGGGTGGGTTGGGCTCCTTTTGATCATCCTCTTCCTCCTCCTGTAGGGGCTCCTGAAAGCTGCCCAGGGGAGAGAGACGGGGGTCAGGAAAATAAAGCATGGCAGCTGCTTCACTGGGAGCTAGCCCAGAAAGACAAGGAGTTGTATCAAGTACTTTATAGGCAGCCCCTTTGGTTCAATTCTGTGATTCTGTAACGGTCTTGTTTCTGGAGGAATTACGTTCAATTTTTAGTGCCCTGCAGAAAAGATATTTCTAGATTGAAAAAGCATGCAGGAGGCAAGACCCTTGGCAAAATAAGGACTTCTGAGCTCGGCTTGACAAAGCTAAACACAAGCCTCTGATCAGACCTCACCTGGAGTGCTGGGTGCAGTGTCACCCAAGCACTGGAGCGCCACTGGGTGCAACATAAGGGCTGACAAACTGCAGCTGCCTGTTAGACGACCTCCAGCAGCAAGAGGCAGAAACAAACCCGTTTCCCCCAAACACAATCGCATAAGAATTCCTTTCACGCGGAAGTGATTTGCTCTGAAACTGCAGGTTAACATGGGCATCAAAGATGGCTCGAGGGGAACACTAGCAGACTGCCCTAAAATGACCAGACGATGTCGGAAAACAACCGTTCCAAGGCTGAACCAAGAAGTCTTCCCCTCTCACCTATAAGCCATGACAAACGCTACAAGGCTCTTGTAGAGCTCAAGCGTGTGTTTTTCTGGGTCCCACAGTTCCGTGTGGGACCGGATGAAGGGCAGGATGATATCATTGTACTCCTTCTGGATGTTGGCGAGATCCTTGTCCACTGCCTCTGGGATCTCAGTGCCCTGAAGAAGCCGGTTTCTCTCCTCCTCCGACCTGCGGAACACCACAGAGACTATTAATGCAGATCAGCGGCGGGTGGACCTGTCGGCCCTGCGTCTTCCTTGTTTTTGACCGTACTGTCCGTCTGCAGCACTGGACGAAACAGCACAGCGGTGTAGTTGCAAGGAAAGTGATCAAGATTTTCACAGCTGCTCAGCGAGCAGGAAAGGCTTCACAAACCCGAAGGAGCCGGAGTAACAAGAGGGCGGGACTGACGCCTCCATTGCTCTTACCAGAACATGGGGTGGTCAAGGGCCTTGAGGTCTGGCCAGAGAGACAAGTAGGGTCTCCAGTAAGAATCCGGACAGGTGTACTCCCACATCAACGCCAAGAGCAGCGGCACCCAGCCTGATGGGCTCGACAAGGACTGCTTCTCTGCATCGGGAAAGACCAGTCAGAAAGAACGGCATGGAGAACTGTACCCACAGGTATCACAAGGGACATCTCAAGAAGGCGGGCCAGATAAAATACTCGTAAAAGTACTACGAAATGACCAAGTTGAGCTGCCTTTGGATAAGACTGGCCTGGGCCTGCTCTCTTACCTTTCTCCAGCACAGACTTCACCCTGCTGGTTTCCTGATACAGAAGAGCCGTCCTGGGGATAGAGAAGATCACTTCTCCTTCTTCGATCTCCTCCCGGGCCAGCATGCCGTATTCAGACACTGTGCCCTGCTTGCTCACGCAGACCTGACCAAGGGCACAGGCAAACATTTGTCAGCACGACTCACAGCTGAACAATAAAAAAAAAATGTTTCAGTTCCAGCAGGTGCGCTGTGGCAGGGGTGAAGGACTTTATTCACTGGGTTTGTGGGGCCCAGTTGGTCTGTTTATTTAAAACACCGATACTCGCTCTTGGGCACAAAAGGCCACCTGGTCTTCCGGTTTCACTCCTTTATTTGAATCAACCGCCATTATATGTTCAGTATAGAAACTGGTGGACTGCTGCCCTCCAGAACCAGGATACCAGGGATACCACTAAGCCGCAACGAAAATTAGGTGACCCTACAGCCCACTACGAACCATCCTACTCCGCCCCTTTACATCATTAAAGCGCTCTTTAGTAACACTTTCGTTACCTTCGCACTGAGTTTCAGACCAACATCTTCACACCAGCTCAAAAAGTTCTGCAGAGGTTCGTCCACACAGCCTTCCGCAAGCCCGCCAGAGTCCAGCTGGAACAGAGACGCGCACACATCGGACAAGAGCTCAGATAATCCCTGCAGTGACCAAGTGTCTCTTTGAGATTAAGCCCCCTTGTCCCTGGAGTGTGTATCGCAGCACAGTACACAGTCCAGCGTCTTGCAAAAAAAAAAAATAACAACAGCAATATTTTTAAATGATACCGTTGCACCTTTATTTATAGCGGCGTATATGAAATTACGGAAAAAACCAAACATGTCTGTAGAGATGGCCGCCAAAAACCGACACGGAGAACAAAGTAATTTTAGATTCAAACCTTGGGCTTCTTTGCGCCTGATGCCATTCCCCTCGATGTGAAATTCTTCTGTCACATACGCAGGAATTATATATTTATTGACCTCGCTAGTAATACTCGGCGGCGCTCTTAGTTGACAAGCTCAACGCGGGCTCACGTGGTTTGTTCACACGTGGTGTCGCGCACAGGAGTACTTCCTGGTTCAGGAGGAGGAGCTGGCCGGCGCGCCAGCAGACACAGTTGCTGTGGGGGTGAATAATTTTGAACATTAAATTAACTTTCTGGAGAAAGGTCTAGACTGTTTGTCGGGTGACAGCATCTGGCACAGTGGGGAAAGTTGCTGTGCACACTGTTTCAAAATGAATGTGTTTGCCTGATACGAAAAACGCGAATAGAAAGCTGGCGAATAAGAAGCCAACTTCAGCCTCGTGAACATATCAACATGCCTGTCTGCAGTGCACTGATGCACCTTTAGTTTTAATATGAAATGATATTGTACAGCAGTGGACAGTACAGTAAAATTAAAACGAACTATTTGTGTAACAAAACCTAGATTTTTTTAATTGTGTACCATGAAAGGCGCTATATAAAACACATAACTTATACAATATAACAATTATATAATGTTAAATAAAATAACTTATCAAAATCAAGTCTGTGATTCCTGTGGCTTCATATTCATATCTATGAATTGGCTTCATTACTCTGCTCTCCTCCCGCACTGAGAGCTGCTGTGTGGGGAGTGTACTGGTGCACTATGGCTGCTGTTGCATCATCCAGGTGGATGCTGCAAATTGTCCAGAAAACCGCTATATAAGTGTAAGCAATTATTATTATTATATCAGTGGGGTGAATTGGAAGTGCACTGCAATAGAGCCAGCTCCCTGCTGCTCATCCTGCCTGCTTCCCCTTCTGTCCACCAGATGGCGCTGTAGCACAATGAGGCGATTGAACCTCAATGGACTTGCTCACCCAGTGGGTGAAAGAGCTGGTCAGGAGGGGCACCTTGACTTACCTTCCACGTATTTCAGTGTGTTAGCTGTGAAAGGATCCTTCGACACCCCGCTGTCCCACTGGGTGACTGGCTGTC